AGAAATGTATGGGGATGATGTGACAAGTATTCGCACAAAGAGCCATTGACACATCCCAGCTGGGTGAAAGACGGGCTCTACAACTTACCTGTAACTACCTGCTGACTGGGACCACATCTTTATTCACCTGTCTGTATAGAACTCAATAATAAAAACACTCGGCAAATACGTAATGCCAATAGACTACTGCTTGCTCGTAATTGTGTTCGTGTTTTTTTTTTTTGTACAATGTGCGGTCTTTCTCTAGCATTCACCTTGACCTTCAGCGATTCTATGACAAATAACCTTGACATTTCTTATGTCCGGTAACCAATGGAAGGTATGACAAACGTTTATCGTTTTACGTCATTCGACAGTCCATAAGTGAATGCCATTTTTAGATTTAATGTTTTTAAAATTCGTTAGATCAGTTAAAATAATACATTATTCAACACATCTCTAATGTGATAGCTAAATTTAACAAAGGTAAAGTCAGAGTGCCCCTTGTGTTTTGTGCACAAACGGTAATAGGTGAAAGCCATAGTAATGGGTTGTAGATGAATGTTTATGTTATATGTACAATTTAATTTCGTTTTTCATAATAAAATTACTTTCCTTTAATAAAAAAAAAATTAAGAAAATAAAAATCGAAGTTTATTTTAAAGATTTGGGTTTATGTCTTGTTCTGGGTTCAAGATTTAAAAATTGGGCCGAAGCTTTAATAAATGGAGATGAAGTTTCTAGCTGACTTGTAAGGATTAAGTTTAGGGTTATAGTAAGGATTATAAATGTATGTTAAGGCTCATGTTAAATCTCATATCAAGTTTTGATGGTTCGTGTTTAGATTTGTGTTTAGGAGTTTACCTCAAAATAATACCCGTGTGATAATTTGTTAAGCAATATGAAAATTTGATTACGTCACTCAAGATGCTTTTACGTCATACAAACTCTTACTAGGTCACAGGTCACTTCCTATCCACTGATAGCCTATTCTATAAACTTTCATCCCCACCCCATCCCAGATGAGGGATTAAGTTATATAGCGTGTTGCATTAATTCGGTCCATGTATCGGGAAAAATATCAACCAAAACCTTTTTAACAATAATCGTAGGTTAATTTACATTGGGTCATTATACTGGCAAATACCATCCGAATCATGCCTCGTAATGGGAGGCCACTCTAACACATTCTCCCTTTATATTCTCAGTGCCTACACATTATTTTAGACGACAGCGTCACAATTATACCGACAAATTGCAATAAAAAATGATTAAATAGTCCATGGTATTTAGAAATACGAATACACTACTTCTCTTTAATATTAAAAAAAAATGTTAACCATATTTATTTTTTCTGCATGGAAAGTTCTTCCAAGAGGACAAATATTTTTTCCCCACTCCCAATATCAAAGGGAACTTTACTACGTCACAACGTATCAAACCTCCAACGACCTAAAAATAGACTTCAACAGTATTTGCTTTCTGGTTTTAATTCTAATATATTTTTATTAACAAAGAAAAATACTATAATAAATAGTCTTTCGAGAGTTATTAAAGCAGATACAAATATTGTTAGTTTGCTATTAATTTCTAATGTAAAACAATAAACATATCGCCAAACACATCACTATTTATTTCCTGATTCACTCGTTTACTGTCTAAACAGACGTACATTTAGACATAATTTTTAATATCAATAGAATAATAGCCCAATAAGAATATAACAAGTCATGCATTACACATAAATACAAAAGCTTATGTGAGAATAAAGAAATAAGGCGATATTACTGAAGCCAACTTGCACAATCAAACTACCAATTATTCTTTTACTGGTGTGACCCCCCCCCCCCCTACACTCATACGCGCTTTCACTCATACGCGACTAATGAGTAGCAGCATTGATAACAGTGTTTCTTCCAGACTTCTCAGACGAACCAGTTAATGAAAATAATCAACATCACACAGTAGTTTCCTCTGTTAATTTTGCAGTATGTGTCACCCCCCCCCCCCCACCCCTCAGGGGTGATAAAGCTTTAATCTATTCACACTTAATAGTAAAGATGTAAAGTCGGCTACAGCTTGATGTAACGTTGTTTTCTCTATACTTTAAGTTTAGGTCATGGTGTTACCCCATGGAGGGCCTGGTCACTTGGTACACCGTCTAATCTTATTGAGTGGACTGGACAACTCACACAATTTTATTTGGTTTTTTTGAGAAAAATGTAAAAGAAAAATCGATAATAGTTTTCAAATGGGGTAATGGCCACTGTGGGTGTAGTGACCTTTACCACATCACCACACACTACATCTGACCACAACCACATCACCACACACTACATCTGACCACAACCACATCACCACACACTACATCTGACCACAACCACATCACCACACACTACATCTGACCACTCCTTCTTCTCCACACGCTACGAGTATATCCACTACCACGTGTTCACACGCTACACGTGACCACAACCACATGACCACATCTGACTACTACCACATCACCACACACTACACTTGTCCACAGGATTCATGTAAGACCCAACTGGACAGTTGAACTCTTTAGAGAACTCGGGAAAATTTTGTGCTGGTCCGTTGGCCCTGGATAAAAAAATAATCACATACTTGTAATATAAAACTAGTCGAGTTTCAAATGGTATAAACTCCCATACACACACAGACCAGTGTTTCTTTCAGACTTTTTCTCCGGGGAAGGGGGCACTAAAAAATTTCCGGGGGAGGAGAGGACTAAACTTTTCTAGGGGGGGGGGCGGACACTGTTAAAAGTATATATTTTTATTATATATATTATATATTTATTATATATCATTTACATAAGTTTCATTTCGTTCGGGGGGGGGGGGGCAGTAGACAATCATCAGGGGGGTGGGGGCTCTGCCTCCCCGAAGAGATGCCTGGAAGAAACACTGGCACCAACAGGCACACAGAAACACAGAGATGACACATACACATGCACGATTACCAACTGACCTGAATATCGAGAGGCTGTGAACGTCGTAGTTCATTAGAAGAATTGTTTGGGCGTCTGTGTTGGTCTGGCACCAGGTCTGTCGGGGGGGGGGGGGGGGAGTGGGGAAGTCAAGAATGATATTATAATACATTTCTCACTGTTTTAATCTGGCTGCTAATCAATGTGACTACATTAAAATTAGTATCGCTGTAGATGTAGACGACTGGTCAATCCAAAGTTTAATATGATCCACCTAAAACATAAACACGGCCTGAACTTGTATTAATAAAAAACAGTTTTCTCCCATACCTGAGCCTGACTGATGAAGTACAGTTGGTTGTTGGTAAAGTTTAACCCCGGCAATCTTGGCTCTTCTCTCCCTTGTTTGCTCACCCAGTTCCTATAGGCCTGCAGGGGACATAATGTAACAGTAACACGTATTGCATAAACACACACACACACATACATATATATATATATATATATATATATATATATATATATATATATATATATATATATATATATATATATATATATATATATATATATATATATATATGGAAAGCTAAAAACTAAAATGCAGGAAAAGCGCCTACAATATTTAGTATAGAAAATTGGTTTATTTTAAATACAAATATGATTAAATAATTAAGAAAAAATGTACGCCTTCATTTATCTACTAGAGTCTAGTGAGCAGACGAGTTTCGTCCAGAAGACACAGACGTATTACCCTGTATGAATGTTTGATGCCGCCATTGTCTGCGATGTTCTCTCCCTGTGTCGTCACGCCATTGACCTGAGGGGGTGGGGGCGGGGAAATGAAGATTGTATTAAAAAAAATAATCGGGGGGGGGGGGGGGGGGGGAATGAAAATTGTGTTAAAAGAATAATCAAAATTTCTCTTTCCTCGCAGTATTATACAAAACACTTTTACTTAATCCCCGCCCACCCCCCCCCCCCCTTTTTTTTTATCAGTTAGATTGTTCGGACTCTACTGCATCATCTGTGATGCTTTTTAAAAAACGTTTCTATCGATTTGAAAATAAAAGTTTATTTAGAAGATATTGGCATTTTGTATAGATGGCAATAGTAAAAAACATTGATAAGTAGAACGCTGTAAGTAAGAAACGGCCTTTCAATATTTTTTTCACAGATTAATAACTGTAGACAAAACAAAATCTGCTCTAGCATTAGTCTAAATGTCTTTAAACAACAGACACTCGTCTATCTTTTAAAAAAAATTATTATATAATAAAATACAGTATTAGAAAAGAAATATGCAGTAGGCGACTATACGCATTGTACCAAATACGTTTTTTAAAAAATCTCTATATTAAAAATGGAACTGTATTTAATTTTGTTTCAATGTACTCACGTGATAAGTCTTGGCCAGTGCTTGTATAGTGTAGTTCCCATACTGATTGATAAGACATTCCTTTTTTCTGTTGAAAGCCTCGAGAGTTTCAGTCGACCACCAATTCTCTACGTCACCGTATTTGTTCATCTCCCTGCCTGTAAGACGGGGTAGTGATACACAGGATGACCATTTTAAATAACAAAATTACCAGTCATTCAGAATGTAAATAGATAACTTAAAAAAATTATAAATAAAAACTATAAATAATTAAAATAGATAATAAATACCAATTTGAAGTAAGCTTTAACGTTACTAGTTCTAAATCTTAAAGGCTATTTATTTGGAAGAATGAGAACCAAATATTTTAAATGTGAGTAGGATATACATCTTTGTGAGACAGTTAAATCTACCTTGATCATCAAATCCATGGGTTATTTCATGAGCAATGAACATGCCGATTACTCCATAATTCAAATACCTGGTTGTTTGATCATATAGAATAGTTATATTATAATCTCTCTCTCTGTATATATATATATATATATATATATATATATATATATGATGTAGAAGCAGAGCAAAATTTAGACATATAGAGTAATTTATGTACACATGTTTAATATCCATAACCTACGCACTAAATTGTTGCCAGTTTTAGGAGGATTTGTGATTGTAAACATTTGAACTTACATTGGATACGACTTTTTAAATAGAGGCGGCAACAAAATCCCAGTCATTATAGCTAGAACAAAATGAAATTAATTCAAATAGTTAATTTATTAAACCATTTTTGGTTTATAGGAATCTTTATATATATATATATATATATATATATATATATATATATATATATATATATATATATATATATATATATATATATATATATATATATATATATATGTTTATTTATATACATATAAGTACTCTAAAGCTATTCAAACAGACAAATTTCAGCTATGTATTATTACTGTATAATTACTATAAAACGTGTTTGAATGTTCAGATATGTGGCAATACTTGACCGAACCTCACTTACCAATGGTGTTTGAATCAGACAAATAACTTCCTTTAAGATCAATGGCACTGAAGGAGGAGCTTCAAATGCAAAGAAAACGTTACAAAGATCTTTTAAAATGATTTAAGTTTATTGCTTTTTATCTTACTGTTTATTTTTTAAATGTGAAAGCACATCAATAAATATTTTCACAATTTAGATGAGATTTTTTTATTCTCTCTCTAAAAGTTCTTCTTATTTTCAAAGAATTTTTTAAAAATATGAAGCAACATATATTTTTACTTTCTCGTATATACGAAGTATAGTGAAAGTATTGTTATCGTGCAAAAAAATCTCTTGAAATTTTAACAATTTTCACCGTATTACACCTCAGTCCTTCATCACATCCGAAGTATAGAGGACTTATTTTAATCGGGCAAAAATTATCAATCCAGATTTATCAAAATTAAGAGGTTTTATGCATAATCCATTCTGAAAAACTGAGCTTTGCAATCCTGTCCGTATGTCTGTGTGTCTGTCTGTGTGTGTGTAAACACGATTACTTGAGTACCGTTACAGCTAGGTTGATGAAATTTCATATATAAGTATTTTATCAAAATCGTAGATCCGTATCAACTTTTGAGTGATTTCCGATAACCGGAAGTGGTACTTTTTCTACTTTGAATTTTTCAAAAGCCTATAACTTGAGTACTATTTCAGATAGATAAATGAAATTTCACAAGTGAGTAAAAGATCTAATTTTCTACCTTCTGTTAAATTTTGAGTAATTTCCGTTGACCGGAAGTAGTAATTTACGCTACTTCCGATTTCTCAAAAAACTAATGTAAATTTTTAAAGTACTAATAATATTGCGCACTATTATGCACTTTTTTATTTGGTGTGCAATTCTTTTGTCTACGAGATTTTATTCTATTTTTAAAACTTTAAGTATTTAAAATGGATTAAAAATCATGTCTATAGCCCGAGTTCCCATCCCCTGTTGTTTTATATAAGAATATTCGAGAAAGTTTAGAGGAGATCACCCCCGGTTTATTTTTCAGTGAATTAAAGCGTAGATATCGAACTTACAGAACAGAGTTACCCCGCCATCTGAGCGTCCTCCAGTTGATGTAGGAATACTCAACCCTAGCGTCAGCGAGGTTCTCGAGGAAAGTCGAGTTCTTGTAGGTAAACTAGGACATTTTACAAAGTAGGTCAAGTTCTTGTAGGTAAACTAGGACATTGTACAGAGTAGGTCATGTTCTTGTAGGTAAACTAGGACATTGTACAGAGTAGGTCATGTTCTTGTAGGTAAACTAGGACATTTTACAAAGTAGGTCAAGTTCTTGTAGGTAAACTAGGACATTGTACAGAGTAGGTCATGTTCTTGTAGGTAAACTAGGACATTGTACAGAGTAGGTCATGTTCTTGTAGGTAAACTAGGACATTGTACAGAGTAGGTCATGTTCTTGTAGGTAAACTAGGACATTTTACAGAGTAGGTCATGTTCTTGTAGGTAAACTAGGACATTTTACAGAGTAGGTCGAGTTCTTGCAGGTAAACTAGGACATAAAATCAAATAAACTAGGTCGTTTTTTTATGTATACCCGAACGACAAATCTAAGTAGTTCGCGTTATTTAAATGGTCCTAGGACCTTTGACCACAGGTGCTTTGACCATAGGAGCTTTGACCATAGGGGGTTTGACCATAGGGGGTTTGACCATAGGGGGTTTGACCATAGGGGGTTGGACCATAGGGGGTTTGACCACAGCGGAGCTTTGACCATAGGGGGTTTGACCACAGGTGTTTTCTCAGCAGAGGGTCTTTGATCACAGGTGGTCTATCAACGGGTGTTTGATCAAAAGCGCTGTGTCCGGCTTTGATCATAGGTGTTTTGTCCACATAGGGTCTTTGATCTCTTTGACTCTCAGGAAACATGTATAAAATCGTGTTAATTGTATCACACCTATGATCATTGCCGGACACAGTGCTTGTGATCAAACACCCGTTGATAGACCACCTGTGATCAAAGACCCTCTGCTGAGAAAACACCTGTGGTCAAACCCCCTATGATCCAACCCCCTATGGTCAAAGCTCCGCTGTGGTCAAACCCCCTATGGTCAAACTCCCTATGGTCAAAGCACCTGTGGTCAAAGGTCCGCGCACCATTTAAATGTAGCCTAGGATAATTCTTTTACAAAATAGGTAATGTTTTGCTTTTAAACTAGGAAAACAACTTTCACAAAGTAGGTCAAGTTAGTGCAACAACACAACCAGTAGAAAAGATAACACGACTAATATTATTCTGAAACGGAATATTTTATTGAATCCTTACGGGACGCCCATAATTGAAGTCACACTGATGTGACGGAAGGGGAGTCCTTAATTTTGTGAAGGGGTATGATGAGAGGGAGGGGGAGGGCGGGGGGGGGAGTTAAGATAGTGTGACGTCACATATTTGCTTTATAAAAAAGTAATGTTAGAAAACAAATTTTAGCCGTTATTTCACGTTTTCGGTTACTGTTTTAATAAACTGTAATAAAGAATTGATTAAACTAATCTATGTAGACCGAGCTCAGACTAGGTTTTAATAAAAATTCAACTGCTGCGGTGTGATCTCATTTTAAGGGGGGGGGGGGGGTCTTGTTTTTTGTGACGGAGGGTAGAGGGGAGGTAAATTCGTTAAAAACAGAATGACTTCATTAATGGATGACCCCTTAATTCACGAACATAAACAAATATACTTGACCGGTAGTACAAACACTGTAAAACTTACGTTCATGTACTTCATTTCAATAAACGTGTCGTTCATTAACTCATCTGGGTAGCCAATGACAAACTTAATGAAGTCGTTCTAAAATACGTAAACAATTATTTTAGATAGTTTAAGACATTTTATGTTGTTTAACTAAAACTATACTCTAGCAATACAATATTTTTATCTCCAAAATACATCAACTGTTCCATTCTAAGGAAACACTTTAATATTACTCCACTATTTAACTACATGTGTTTTATTTCGATAAAATTGCTTCGAAAACAATAACAAAATAAAATATGCTACATGAGACAACAAATGGCATGATAATTTATCAGAAATTATTTAAAACGAATACACAAACTTTTTCTTTTGCACGTTGCCTAGTTTGTTCATCCATCCAATCAGCTTCATCGAGAACGTCTTGAAATGTGCTTTGAATATTTTTCCCCATGGTCAGAAGCTGTGAAATAAACACATACATTAGATGCAGAGGCGTAGCAATGGGGGGGGGGGGCAGGGGGGGACATATGTCCCCGGGCGCCGACCTTAGGGGGCGCCAAAATGGGTTGTAAAAACAAATTAAAATATCAATTTAGCTGCCATTTTTGCAGTTTGAGGGGGGATGGGTGCAAATCTAAAGTTTGAGGGGGGGGTGCCAAATTGAAAGTTTGTCCCCGGGCGCCGAGAAGGGTCGCTACGCCTCTGATTAGATGTAACCTTAAAAAGCAAACAATCAGAGCTAAGTGATGCTGATTACCTGTTATTCAACAGAGGGGCGGAACTTGTACTTTGTGATAATTTACTATTGTTAAAAATTGTGCGTAAATGTTTTTGTGTTTGTTTGTAGAGAAGTAACTTTTATTACCCACCATTTCCTTCATTTCATCATCAAAGTAATCCCTGACAAACATTTTGGCCAATGGCATGCCAATGAAGCTGTTGACCGTTGATACACAACCTTTGAAGACAGGTGGTCGAGTGGCTAGTCCTGTCATCACCTGCAATACATTGACAGTCCCTGCATCACCAATCAAAGATAATTAACGAGTTAGTAATACCTAAACAAGACGAGTCAACCAGTCACAAGATGTAAGGCAATTTCTACAAACACAGAAAAGCTTTTATTTAATTAACACTAGTTGTTTGTTTGTTTGCTATTCTGTTTGTGTGTTTGCGACAACTCTGGAAATTCAATTTTGACCCACTTCTGATTTTGCTACAACTTTCCAGAAACGTCCGTGTCAGAATATCTAATTTTTAATCTAATCATATATTAAATTATTCATTACAAATCAATTAAAAGACTTTTGAATTCTATAACACAAGCGTCGATAGCAAGACAAACAGCTCACTAAGGTCAACTAGTGCTTTATCATACACTGACAGGTTTTCAATGCCTACTTTACTTTTCACTTACGAAATACTCAGTAAAGATATATTCTTGTCAATTTATCACTTTTAACATCACAGATCCTCGAGCGAACCTATAGCATTCTGTAAAATTATTTCATGCCCGCTAATACATCAGCAACATTTTAATCCCAAATCTATATATATAATTCTCTTCTGGGAGACGTTAGAAAACAAAGTGTAAGCGCGCCGAACAGTCCCCTCTTTTCCTCTCTAGGCATATCGCAACCACCCCCACCCCCACATGGTCTGGTGAGCTGTGGTTCACGCTAAATGATTACATCGTAGAGCCGGGTTTAGTGACGGCTATTAGGGGCAGATAATTTAGTTTAAAACTATTTTATACTTAGGGGAGGAAACTAAGTGGAGGCTGCTTTCACGTGGGTGGGGGTGGGGGTGGGGGGTTGGGGGGTTGGGGGAAAGGAGGGTTTTAGTGTTTTAAAGCAAATATTTTCAGTGGCAGCATTGGTACTGTCGAATTCACAAATTATGAATTACTGAAAAGTAGAAAATAAAACAACTAAATAGCGGCGTATGATACGCCACGGGTCGGCTCGTTTAATATAAATGAATACGGTCGATAAATAATACCAAAGTTGCGAGGGCGGCATGATAAAATGAGCTTACTTTTTGGTAATCGTAGTATAGTGACAGGTACTTCTCTCCCATCAGCTTGTTTACAGAGAGCATGAATTTAAACAAAATGTAGTTTGCTATGGTCCTGAAAATATAGAGACACGTTTAAATGTTATGCAGACATGTTAGTTTTGGACAATATGCGTTGACTTTTCTCTTTTGCAGTCACCATTTTGGTGTCTGGTTTAGCTCAGATAGATTATTCACATTTTTGTATCTAGCTCAGATTATTCACTTTTTTGACGTCTGATTTTGTCGTTTACTCACCGTTTTGACGTCTGATTAAGTCGTGTACTCACCGTTTTGACGTCTGATTTTGTCGTTTACTCACCGTTTTGACGTCTGATTGAGTCGTGTACTCACAGTTTTGACGTCTGACTGAGTCGTGTACTCACCGTTTTGACGTCTGATTTTGTCGTTTACTCACCGTTTTGACGTCTGATTGAGTCGTGTACTCACCGTTTTGACGTCTGACTGAGTCGTGTACTCACCGTTTTGACGTCTGATTTTGTTGTTTACTCACCGTTTTGACGTCTTACTGAGTCGTGTACTCACCGTTTTGACGTCTTACTGAGTCGTGTACTCACCGTTTTGACGTCTGATTTTGTCGTGTACTCACCGTTTTGACGTCTGGTTTAGCACACCCACCAGCCTGTCAAAATATGCTGGCACATAGTTGTTGACCCTCTCACTCTCGTCAATGTCCGTGATACCAATGTGAGGGTCACTCAGCAAAGTTTGGAAGAAATGTGTCCAGTTCATTATCTAAATTATATAATGTGTCCAGTTCATTATCTAAATTATATAATGTGTCCAGTTCATTATCTAAAATATATAATGTGTCCAGTTCATTATCTAAAATATATAATGTGTCCAGTTCATTATCTAAAATATATAATGTGTCCAGTTCATTATCTAAAATATATGTGTCCAGTTCATTATCTAAAATATATGTGTCCAGTTCATTATCTAAAATATATAATGTGTCCAGTTCATTATCTAAAATATAAAATGTGTCCAGTTCATTATCTAAAATATATGTGTCCAGTTCATTATCTAAAATATATAATGTGTCCAGTTCATTATCTAAAATATATAATGTGTCCAGTTCATTATCTAAAATATATGTGTCCAGTTCATTATCTAAAATATATAATGTGTCCAGTTCATTATCTAAAATATATAATGTGTCCAGTTCATTATCTAAAATATATAATGTGTCCAGTTCATTATCTAAATTATATAATGTGTCCAGTTCATTATCTAAAATATATGTGTCCAGTTCATTATCTAAAATATATAATGTGTCCAGTTCATTATCTAAAATATAAAATGTGTCCAGTTCATTATCTAAAATATATGTGTCCAGTTCATTATCTAAAATATATAATGTGTCCAGTTCATTATCTAAAATATAAAATGTGTCCTGTTCATTATCTAAAATATATGTGTCCAGTTCATTATCTAAAATATATAATGTGTCCAGTTCATTATCTAAAATATATAATGTGTCCAGTTCATTATCTAAAATATATGTGTCCAGTTCATTATCTAAAATATATAATGTGTCCAGTTCATTATCTAAAATATATGTGTCCAGTTCATTATCTAAAATATATAATGTGTCCAGTTCATTATCTAAATTATATAATGTGTCCAGTTCATTATCTAAAATATATGTGTCCAGTTCATTATCTAAAATATATGTGTCCAGTTCATTATCTAAAATATAAAATGTGTCCAGTTCATTATCTAAAATATATACTGTGTCCAGTTCATTATCTAAAATATAATGTGTCCAGTTCATTATCTAAAATATATAATGTGTCCAGTTCATTATCTAAAATATAAAATGTGTCCAGTTCATTATCTAAAATATAAAATGTGTCAAGTTCATTATCTAAAATATATAATGTGTCCAGTTCATTATCTAAAATATAAAATGTGTCAAGTTCATTATCTAAAATATATAATGTGTCCAGTTCATTATGTAACATATAAAATATGTCCAGTTCATTAACTAAAATATAAAATGTGTCCAGTTCATTATCTAAAATATATAATGTGTCCAGTTCATTATCTAAATTATATAATGTGTCCAGTACATTATCTTAAATATATAATGTGTCCAGTTCATTATCTAAAATATATAATGTGTCCAGTTCATTATCTAAAATATATAATGTGTCCAGTTCATTATCTAAAATATATGTGTCCAGTTCATTATCTAAAATATATGTGTCCAGTTCATTATCTAAAATATATAATGTGTCCAGTTCATTATCTAAAATATAAAATGTGTCCAGTTCATTATCTAAAATATATGTGTCCAGTTCATTATCTAAAATATATAATGTGTCCAGTTCATTATCTAAAATATATAATGTGTCCAGTTCATTATCTAAAATATATGTGTCCAGTTCATTATCTAAAATATATAATGTGTCCAGTTCATTATCTAAAATATATAATGTGTCCAGTTCATTATCTAAAATATATAATGTGTCCAGTTCATTATCTAAATTATATAATGTGTCCAGTTCATTATCTAAAATATATGTGTCCAGTTCATTATCTAAAATATATAATGTGTCCAGTTCATTATCTAAAATATAAAATGTGTCCAGTTCATTATCTAAAATATATGTGTCCAGTTCATTATCTAAAATATATAATGTGTCCAGTTCATTATCTAAAATATAAAATGTGTCCAGTTCATTATCTAAAATATATGTGTCCAGTTCATTATCTAAAATATATAATGTGTCCAGTTCATTATCTAAAATATATAATGTGTCCAGTTCATTATCTAAAATATATGTGTCCAGTTCATTATCTAAAATATATAATGTGTCCAGTTCATTATCTAAAATATATGTGTCCAGTTCATTATCTAAAATATATAATGTGTCCAGTTCATTATCTAAATTATATAATGTGTCCAGTTCATTATCTAAAATATATGTGTCCAGTTCATTATCTAAAATATATAATGTGTCCAGTTCATTATCTAAAATATAAAATGTGTCCAGTTCATTATCTAAAATATATACTGTGTCCAGTTCATTATCTAAAATATAATGTGTCCAGTTCATTATCTAAAATATATAATGTGTCCAGTTCATTATCTAAAATATAAAATGTGTCCAGTTCATTATCTAAAATATAAAATGTGTCAAGTTCATTATCTAAAATATATAATGTGTCCAGTTCATTATCTAAAATATAAAATGTGTTCAGTTCATTATCTAAAATATATAATGTGTCCAGTTCATTATCTAAAATATATAATGTGTCCAGTTCATTATCTAAAATATAAAATGTGTCAAGTTCATTATCTAAAATATATAATGTGTCCAGTTCATTATGTAACATATAAAATATGTCCAGTTCATTAACTAAAATATAAAATGTGTCCAGTTCATTACCTAAAATATATAATGTGTCCAGTTCATTATCTAAAATATATAATGTGACCAGTTCATTATCTAAAATATATAATGTGTCCAGTTCATTATCTAAAATATAAAAATGTGTCCAGTTCATTATGTAACATATAAAATATGTCCAGTTCATTAACTAAAATATAAAATGTGTCCAGTTCATTATCTAAAATATATAATGTGTCCAGTTCATTATCTAAAATATATAATGTGACCAGTTCATTATCTAAGATATATAATGTGTCCAGTTCATTATCTAAGATATATAATGTGACCAGTTCATTATCTAAAATATAAAATGTGTCCAGTTCATTATCTAAAATATATAATGTGTCCAGTTCATTATCTAAAATATATAATGTGACCAGTTCATTATCTAAAATATATAATGTGTCCAGTTCATTATCTAAAATATAAAAATGTGTCCAGTTCATTATGTAACATATAAAATATGTCCAGTTCATTAACTAAAATATAAAATGTGTCCAGTTCATTATCTAAAATATATAATGTGTCCAGTTCATTATCTAAAATATATAATGTGACCAGTTCATTATCTAAAATATAAAATGTGTCCAGTTCATTATCTAAAATATAAAATGTGTCCAGTTCATTATCTAAGATATATAATGTGTCCAGTTCATTATCTAAAAAATATAATGTGTCCAGTTCATTATCTAATATATAAAATTGTCCAGTTCATTATCTAAAATATATAATGTGTCCAGTTCATTATCTAAAATATAAAATGTGTCCAGTTCATTATCTAAAATATAAAATGTGTCCAGTTCATTATCTAAAATATATAATGTGTCCAGTTCATTTTCTAAAATATATAATGTGTCCAGTTCATTATCTAAAATATATAATGTGTCCAGTTCATTATCTAAAATATAAAATGTGTCCAGTTCATTATCTAAAATATAAAATGTGTCCAGTTCATTATCTAAATACAGAAATGTGTCCAGTTTATAATCTAAAACACGATAAAGTGTTCAGTTTATTATCATATTTTTAAGTTCATTATCATGATCATATTTCCACTATCCTAAAATATAATGTTGGTGTCTAAGGACGTTCTGTATCAGCTGACTGAATCTCCTCCTCAGCCCCACAACACTACACATTATGGAAACAAATCATTATATTTGTGTACATTATATAACAGAAACTGACCTGTCCATATGTGGCTTGTATCTGGCCCAGAGTTGTAGGGTGGTAATACTGGTCAAAGTATCGAAGTTTGTCAGATGGAACCGATATCTGATCAAAAGGGAAACAAGTTAATAAAAAGTCTTGTGACAATTTAAGCGCAATTTCCTTATAATATTTATTTTAACGAGTAGTGCTACACGATGATCAGTTTTAAAAAAAAATCATCCTAGGCCTACACGATGCTCAGTTTAAAAAGTAGTAATTAATGTTTTGTGACCGAACGAAAGGATATTTTTGAAAACTTTCTTCGGCAATATTGTTCAAAATTATGGCAGGAATCGATTGGTAAATGTTTCAAGTCGCTAAGTGGTCTGATTGCCGAGATATGGACCAAAAACTGCATTTTTTCGAGGTTTTTTGGCTTTTCCGGGAAATCCAGGAAGGAACTCCGGGAATTTTTTTTTGCCCACAATCATCCTTGGAACTTGCTTAGCATATTTGCTTTTGGAACTAGTCCTCGATATTGCTTCGTTGAGGAGGAGATACGACTTAAAGCTGTGGACACACATCCATACATCCAGAAATGACGAGTTAATAATCGCAATTGTCCGTATGGAAATTGCGCTAAAAATATTCTAGGAGAAAAGTAAATACATTTTTTTATATTAGAAAATAACGTTTTCTATTAACGTGATATTACTTTTTAGAAAATATTTTATTGGTATTAAACGTGTTCGGTGGTTTTAACAGCTGTACTGTTTCACCAATTCCGTCTTACCTTGGCCAACTGAATCTTTACACACTTTGGCCAGATTCATCTTTACTCAAGGTTGCTAGATAAATCTTTACTCAAGTTGGCCAGATAAATCTTTACTCAAGTTGGCCAGATAAATCTTTACTCAAGTTGGCCAGATAAATCTTTACTCAAGTTGGTCAGATAAATCTTTACTCAAGTTGGCCAACTAAATCTTTACTCAAGTTGGCCAGATTCATCTTTACTCAAGTTGGTCAGATAAATCTTTACTCAAGTTGGCCAGATTCATCTTTACTCAAGTTGGCCAGATTCATCTTTACTCAAGTTGGTCAGATAAATCTTTACTCAAGTTGGCCAGATTCATCTTTACTCAAGTTGGCCAGATTCATCTTTACTCAAGTTGGCCAGATTCATCTTTACTCAAGTTGGCCAGATAAATCTCTGCTCACTTTGGCCAACTGAATCTCAAAGTCCACAACATCCGCCACATCCCTCCTGGCACTGGAGACGTCAGCAAACCCCAGCAGGGAGCCCATCCCGTACAGATAGTTCTCATAGGCCACGATGAATGGGCTGTTCCTCTCTCTCAGATAGTAGGACTTTGTCATTCCCAAACCGGCCTGGTCTATCTGCAGATTACACCACAAACTGGAATTAAGATAAATACAATAGGATCAAATGCTACAAATACTACAGTACACAACAAAATCTAGGGGAAAACAGTAGGGGCAATTCTTCCAGAAAAATTTCTCCAACAAACTCCAAGGAAGATAAATACAATTCGAGAAGTAACGTTACAAAAAAAAATAAGTTGTGCAAGAGGTGTCTTATCCTTAATGGCTAAGATATTTCACAAAGATCTCTGAGATAAATAGAGCTCAGCGTACTGAAATATAACCAGCTTCTTGTAAAAACATTCCCTTTTGGGTTTAAAAAAGAAACTGACCTATGGCAGCTGGTTATTAAGATTGTGTTATTATAAAAAAAATATTTAAATTTACCACAAATTTAAAATTTAGCTTTACATTACAGTTCTAGACACAAGACACATTTCCTCGCAGAGCCAACAAAAAAAAAACACTTCTCCAAATAGATCTACAGACAAAAGGCACAACTCCGTATAAAAGCACAGCTATTTTAGATACCAAGCCTCTTAATCCCCCTCAACACATTCCCTTCAAATACAACAAACAAACGGGCTACATCATAAACAAAAACCGTACAAAACAACAAACACAATACCATCAACATGTTGATAGCTGTGTTGTTATAATCTTCATCCACGTAGACGCTGAAAATGACGCTCAAATATCGTCTTTGCATCGCCAGTATCATGCGCTCAAAGTCGAAACTCTCTTCCACCCACGAAGCGTTAATGATGGGAAAACTGCCAAACTCTGTTTCTATGATTGCCCTCAGAGGCTGGTCAGATCTAGCAGTGTTTAAATCTGGTGAAGTTAATAGCTTAATTAAGAGTGTCCATCGGTTTACAAGAAAGATAACACTACATTGTGTTGTATTTTAAAATATGCAGGTGCCAAGGGGAAGGAACTCTCACCTGTATTCACGCAGGAAGCAAACAAATCTTTGGCTTTTTTCATGCTAGGCAATTCTGTAGGTCTATAAGGTTCTTCCAATAAATCTGTAGGAAGACGTCTTTTTATATAAATATTTACATTTAACAGCATTAAAGCTGTCAAACTAGCAGGGAACGATGCAAGTTGACAAATTTATACCTGCTTTGACGAATATCAACCGAATTAATATTTTCTTACTTGTACTTTACCTACGTGTAACATATACCACCTACATTTAACACAGGTATGGAAGAACTCATTAATCTAGCAACTATCATTAAGATTAAACGTTTAACACAGGTATGGAAGAACTCATTAATCTATCAACTATCATTAAGGTTAAACGTTTAATAAAGGTATGGAAGAACTCTTTACTCTATCAACTATCATTAAGGTTAAACGTTTAATACAGGTATGGAAGAACTCATTAATCTATCAACTACCATTAAGGCGAAACAGTATACAATCTGAGCATACTTTTCAGAATAACCTGTGTACGTTCAAGCAGGCTGTAAAATGTTCCAATTGAAGCCTGATCGCTGGGTATGATGGAATCTTTCAGCCACTTTCCACAGGCGAACTGGTAGAGATTGTCACAGGGGGAAACTTTGTAGTCGATCATACTGTTGATACGGGAGGCTGGAGAGATAGAGGAAACTTTGTAGTCGATCATACTGTTGATACGGGAGGCTGGAGAGATAGACACAGGGGGGAACTTTGTAGTCGATCATACTGTTGATACGGGAGGCTGGAGAGATAGACACAGGGGGAAACTTTGTAGTCGATCATACTGTTGATACGGGAGGCTGGTGAGATAGAGAAAACTTTGTAGTCGATCATACTGTTGATATGGGAGGCTGGAGAGATAGAGGAAACTTTGTAGTCGATCATACTGTTGATACGGGAGGCTGGAGAGATAGAGGAAACTTTGTAGTCGATCATACTGTTGATACGGGAGGCTGGAGAGATAGAGGAAACTTTGTAGTCGATCATACTGTTGATACGGGAGGCTGGAGAGATAGAGGAAACTTTGTAGTCGATCATACTGTTGATATGGGAGGCTGGAGAGATAGAGGAAACTTTGTAGTCGATCATACTGTTGATACGGGAGGCTGGAGAGATAGAGGAAACTTTGTAGTCGATCATACTGTTGATACGGGAGGCTGGAGAGATAGAGGAAACTTTGTAGTCGATCATACTGTTGATACGGGAGGCTGGAGAGATAGAGGAAACTTTGTAGTCGATCATACTGTTGATACGGGAGACTGGAGAGATAGAGGAAACTTTGTAGTCGATCATACTGTTGATACGGGAGGCTGGAGAGATAGAGGAAACTTTGTAGTCGATCATACTGTTGATACGGGAGGCTGGAGAGATAGAGGAAACTTTGTAGTCGATCATACTGTTGATACGGGAGGCTGGAGAGATAGAGGAAACTTTGTAGTCGATCATACTGTTGATACGGGAGGCTGGAGAGATAGAGGAAACTTTGTAGTCGATCATACTGTTGATACGGGAGGCTGGAGAGATAGAGGAAACTTTGTAGTCGATCATACTGTTGATACGGGAGGCTGGAGAGATAGAGGAAACTTTGTAGTCGATCATACTGTTGATACGGGAGGCTGGAGAGATAGAGGAAACTTTGTAGTCGATCATACTGTTGATACGGGAGGCTGGAGAGATAGAGGAAACTTTGTAGTCGATCATACTGTTGATACGGGAGGCTGGAGAGATAGAGGAAACTTTGTAGTCGATCATACTGTTGATACGGGAGGCTGGAGAGATAGAGGAAACTTTGTAGTCGATCATACTGTTGATACGGGAGGCTGGAGAGATAGAGGAAACTTTGTAGTCGATCATACTGTTGATACGGGAGGCTGGAGAGATAGACACAGGGGGAAACTTTGTAGTCGATCATACTGTTGATACGGGAGGCTGGAGAGATAGAGGAAACTTTGTAGTCGATCATACTGTTGATACGGGAGGCTGGAGAGATAGACACAGGGGGAAACTTTGTAGTCGATCATACTGTTGATACGGGAGGCTGGAGAGATAGACACAGGGGGAAACTTTGTAGTCGATCATACTGTTGATACGGGAGGCTGGAGAGATAGAGGAAACTTTGTAGTCGATCATACTGTTGATACGGGAGGCTGGAGAGATAGACACAGGGGGGAACTTTGTAGTCGATCATACTGTTGATACGGGAGGCTGGAGAGATAGACACAGGGGGAAACTTTGTAGTCGATCATACTGTTGATACGGGAGGCTGGAGAGATAGAGGAAACTTTGTAGTCGATCATACTGTTGATACGGGAGGCTGGAGAGATAGAGGAAACTTTGTAGTCGATCATACTGTTGATACGGGAGGCTGGAGAGATAGACACAGGGGGAAACTTTGTAGTCGATCATACTGTTGATACGGGAGGCTGGAGAGATAGAGGAAACTTTGTAGTCGATCATACTGTTGATACGGGAGGCTGGAGAGATAGAGGAAACTTTGTAGTCGATCATACTGTTGATACGGGAGGCTGGAGAGATAGAGGAAACTTTGTAGTCGATCATACTGTTGATACGGGAGGCTGGAACCGTTGAGATATTGATTATATCTTGGGAAATCATACATTTGTTAAATAAATACAAGATTATTAAAATATGAGGAGCGGAGGGTCTGGTCGAGTGGCAGGTCTTACGACTGTTAACCTCAAAGTCTCGAGTACGGCGGGCTCAAGTCTGTAACACGTCCCCGAGTCCACCCTAGCCTGATGAGTAGGTATCTAACTACCGTCAGGTCATCGTGCCGACCATACCATCCCCCCCCCCCCCCCCATATGCAGAGGTCATTAACACAGACGAGCCCTACTTCATCTGCCCATGTGTCTTGGGAACGAACATAAACAGTTTATGATACTAACGATACTGATGATAATGGTGAAAATATATGTAAATTTTAAACTTTTATGATATATTTAAATTATTTAATTACATTTTTTTTCAAATTTGCACAATTACATAATATACAATAAAAACATAATTTGACATAGGTTTTAACAGTTACATAACTCACCAGCCTCCACGCAGTCCGCTGACAAACAAAATTCTGGAAAGAAATAAAAACAAGTTTTAGATCTCCTATTTTTATTTTGTCTTCATTTGTATGGTCAGATCACCGCTATATTATTATTGAATAATGTGCTCCTATATTTCTACCAAAGGTTTTTATACATGATTCAACAAGCCATATCTGTTTTGGTTATGTAGTCTTAAACTCTGATTGGTTTATATTACAATACATGGCATTCAAAATCAAAATCGTGTGTAGATTGAGAGTTGGAAAAACATTATTATTTTATAAAATCAAAAAATGTTTGCTATGTAATAGTAAGGGGTAGAACATGTAGAATCGTCGTTTTAACCTTTTTTTTCAGCACAGTTGGGTTTTTTACATTTATTATGAAACACTAGAATAGTTGTTTTTTGTTAACTCAGGAGAGCAATTCAGATTAAACATTTATTGCCATCATCATCGTCAATTTTCTTTTGGATTCCTTGCGGTACATAGGGTTTTTGTCAAAGCTTTCCACATTCCACGGTCTCCTGCCACTTTTTTTCAGCTGTTCTCAATTCCTTCCTTTCACCCTCCTCCGGCAAGCCAAGACGCCAGATTGATTGTCCCATTGACTGCACAATTGACCTCATCTGCCCCATTGACCTCATCTGCCCCATTGACCTCATCTGCCCCATTGACCTCATCTTCCCCATTGACTGCCCCATTAACTACCCACTGACCTCATCTGCCCCATTGACTGCCCCATTAACTGCCCATTCAACTCATCTGTCCCATTGACTGCCCATTCAACTAATCTGCCCCATTGACTGCCCCATTAACTACCCATTCAACTCATCTGTCCCATTGACTGCCCATTCAACTAATCTGCCCCATTGACTGCCCCATTAACTGCCCATTCAACTCATCTGTCCCATTGACTGCCCATTCAACTCATCTGCCCCATTGACTGCCCCATTAAATGCCCATTCAACTCATCTGCCCCATTGACTGCCCCATTAACTGCCCATTCAACTCATCTGCCCCATTGACTTCCCTATTGACTGCCCATTCAACTCATCTGCCCCATTGACTGCCCCATTGACTGCCCATTCAACTCATCTGCCCATTGACTGCCCCATTAACTGCCCATTCAACTCATCTGCCCCATTGACTGCCCATTCAACTCATCTGCCCCATTGACTGCCCTATTGACTGCCCATTCAACTCATCTGCCCATTGACTGCCCCATTAACTGCCCATTCAACTCATCTGCCCCATTAACTGCCCATTCAACTCATCTGTCCCATTGACTGCCCATTCAACTCATCTGCCCCATTGACTGCCTTATTGACTGCCCATTCAACTCATCTGCCCCATTGACTGCCCCATTGACTGCCCATTCAACTCATCTGCCCATTGACTGCCCCATTAACTGCCCATTCAACTCATCTGCCCCATTGACTGCCCATACAACTCATCTGCCCCATTGACTGCCCCATTAACTGCCCATTCAACTCATCTGCCCCATTGACTGCCCCATTGACCTTATATGCCCCATTGAGATCATCTGCCCCATTGACTGCTCCATTGACCGCATCTGCCCCATTCAACTCATCTGCCCCATTGACTGCCCATTCAACTCATCTGCCCCATTGACTGCCCCATTAAATGCCCATTCAACTCATCTGCCCCATTGACTGCCCCATTAACTGCCCATTCAACTCATCTTCCCCATTGACTGCCCCATTAACTGCCCATTCAACTCATCTGCCCCATTGACTGCCCTATTGACTGCCCATTCAACTCATCTGCCCCATTGACTGCCCCATTGACTGCCCATTCAACTCATCTGCCCATTGACTGCCCCATTAACTGCCCATTCAACTCATCTGCCCCATTGACTGCCCATACAACTCATCTGCCCCATTGACTGCCCCATTAACTGCCCATTCAACTCATCTGCCCCATTGACTGCCCCATTGACCTTATATGCCCCATTGAGATCATCTGCCCCATTGACTGCTCCATTGACCGCATCTGCCCCATTCAACTCATCTGCCCCATTGACTGCCCCATTGACCTTATCTGCCCCATTGAGATCATCTGCCCCATTGACTGCTCCATTGACCGCATCTGCCCCATTCAACTCATCTGCCCCATTGACTGCCCCATTGACTGCCCCATTAACTGCCCATTCAACTCATCTGCCCCATTGCATCAACCACCCTAATGTATACCTGACGTGAGAAAGTTTTCATACCCTGTATTCCCTGTGTAGTCTCTTCTGTTTTGTCTGTCTGTAAAAATGCTGCGTCCTTGACATTTCCCAACCAGGCAGGTTTCCCCGTGGTGGTGAGGACAATCAGCGCGACAACAACAGCAACCAGAGCAGCAAACACCACCAGCAACAGCAGCAGTAGAACCTTCTCTCGCCGCGTCTCTATGCAGCATCGTGTGCGGTCGGAGCTTTTAATTTGAAACATTTTTTACAGCGTTACAAGAGAATTGTATGTCTGTTCCGTCATCTACTGGGTAATCAATGCGTATAAATAGATTTAATATGTTAAAGACTAACGAATGGATAACTTTTAATTAAACTATTAAAGACATATATCGAGTTTCACATCTAACATATGTAGATAAAGAAAATTAACAATCTCAAATTTAAGCTCTTTGTTTTGTTAGACATTTCTAATTACGACAAGAATGCCTGCCGTAAGTAAACAAAACATGGGAATTTTCCTACTTGAACTCATGTGTTTACACCGCGGGATAAAGCCTTTTAAAATAATTCAAATAAATAATGTTTAAGATAATAAGAAATAATTTACGTGGTTTCTTCAATGACATTTAAATTCTTTTCAGATGCTTCTATTGTGACACAAGATGGCGGCTGATCTGATTTCGCCATCTTGAGAGCAGTGTCTGAAGTGGTGGCTAATGTAGTTTTCTGTGATAAGAATAAGTTGGTTCAGTTTTCAATTACCTGATATATATATATATATATATATATATATATATATATATATATATATATATATATATATATATATATATATATATATATATATATATATATATATATATATATATATATACATAATTTTTTTAATGAAAAAAAGTCAAACATTAACTTACGTACTACAAGCCAAGTCACCAACTTGTCAAGAAATCTTGTCAAAAAATATTCTGCAATAAGCTGTGTTAGAAAATGTATTCAGCTACAAACCAACACTATAGTTAGTATTCAACCTGGTTGTAAACTTACGTTCCGCGTGATGATTTTAGAAGGAAAAAAAAAACCTATTCAGTTCTACGGCTGTTGGAAGCATGAGAATAGTCCCATACTTAACATGATGTAATATTCAAAGGCGGATTTACACCGACACAACACTTCTACAAATTTTAATTTTTTAACCAATTCCTTAACAGATTCCATTGACGCCTGTCTAGGCTTTTATACGCTTAGCAGTAGATTTACAAGTGAACTCTGGGACGAGACAAGTAACCACTGGCTAGGTCTAGCTCACCAATAAAGGCAGAAATTTGATCACTTAAACAATGTTTGTTTCCCAAAAATTAATCTTTAAAAAAAAATAAGGGCGTTATACATTAAAATAAAAACATAAGTTCTAATCGAATTCAAGACAGTTAATATAATGCATCTGATAAAGTATCAGTAAGCAAAAGTTAAATCGGCCTACGCCTATGTTTATCAAGTAACGGATATAAAAAAAATTAAAGTTTTTATCAATCATCAATAAAATACAAGAACTTCTCTGTTTTCTTTTATAAAAGAAACAGCGCTGTTAAGATAAGTGTACGAGTTGGCTCCCCTCAACGTAACCACAATTTGTTAAGCGCGCCAAAGGTTAGGGAGATAACACAAAGATTTCTTGAGTTTAGCATTGGCCTTATGATGGGAAGTTGTGTAACCTGGGAATAGATGAATGTCATTGAATGGGGACAGTGAATGGGGACAGTCACGGTTCACTTGTGTTTATCTTATGGTTAAAACTTATGTGAACACACACATACAGACATATACATACATACGCACTCAATCCCCTATTCACACATAAGCATACACATATACAAACGAGCAGTTTTTTTTTTCAAATTTCTCTCGTGGAAGTTGGGTCAATCTCTTAGGAGTGGGGGTTCCCGCTCCTACCCTCCAGACTTAATAGAAAACATTATTAAATTTATATTGAAAAACATATACTCGACATAGTCGCCCCGCTCCCCCTGAAATTTCGAATCATTCCCCCCCCCCCCCCCTCCCATTGGAGGAAATGTCTAAAAAAACATTCCAAGCAAGTAAATTCATACACACGCACATACATTCATAAATACATACATCTCTCTCTCTATATATATATATATATATATATATATATATATATATATATATATATATATTTATATATATATATATATATATATATATATATATATATATATATATATATATATATATATATATATATATATATATACATCCGAACGTGACGTCGACCATTAGGCTAAAAACACAAATGTGACATTGACGTCTGTGATTGTTGTTTGCTTGAAGCTGCCCCACGTCAAGAGACGTCCCAGCATATTTTCTCGTGTAAATCATCACATCATCACATCAATTATACAAAAACAAATCAGGGGACATGTAAACACGTCAAGAATATAAATATAACACCATAACACAACAAAAGCATCTGACATAAAAAACACCCTCAAATGACACACATCATTCGACACCAAGATGAGAACAACATGACACCAAGCATATGACACCATAGCACAACACCCTCAATATAACATCAAAACAATAACACCTTAACATGACACCCTCCATTCGACACTAAGAGGAGAACAACATGACACCAAGCAAATGACACCAAGATGATAACACCATAAAACAACACCCTCAATATGACACCAAATCAATAACACTTTAACATGACACCCTCTATATGACACCAAGACGATAACACCACAACACAACAACCAGCAGGCGACACCAATTACCCGCTGATTTTTTTCCGCCCTACAACCCCACCAGAGCCAAGACGAATTGTTCAAACGTTTTAACGCTGTTATTAAAACTTCAATCGCTCTCTTGTATACGGTTATAAACATTTCAATAGCTGTCTTGTATTCTGTTGTAAAAATCTCAATACATGCCTTGTATTCACACCCTCTCTCAGACCAGAACCTGAGCCAGTACAGCAACAAAGTATTCTAGTTCGACAAACCACGTGATAACCGTGTTCAAAAACATTTTACTGCAACCTTTAATAACAAGCAGTAGGTTTAATGATAAGTGAAATATACTCTCTAAACGCTAGCGTGTTTAATCTACAGTGCCACTAACGCCTACAGCTATTTATACATCATCTCATCTAAACTAATTCTCTGGACAACCAACCATGGAGATAGAGAGTGACCCTGAAGATACGGACGTACAAGAGACCACAAATTTTCCTTCTGACCTGGGTCTGACGATGGACCAGGAATACTTGACGATTCTACCAGACCCACCTTCTGAGAGGAACCACCACGACAATCCCCAGATGATTAACGATGACGTTTTTGTCGATGCTTATAAGTTGAACAACGCGGCCAAATCGGACGTAGACTCGTTGGACGATGACCGAAAAGTATACTCCGAAATATTGGCCAGTGACCACACCTTGGCCAATGACCACACCTTGGCCAATGACCACACCTTGGACCCTCAGAAGTTGGCCAGTGCCAGAAGTCTAGAACCGACGTACCGGTACAAAAAGTTCATGTACGAGACGGCCAACTTCCCCCACCCGCCATCTGTTGGAGAAAACACGAGCACAAAAGATGAGTACATGAAATACATGCTCGACAAAACAAACTTCCCCGTCTACCACACGGAGGGCAGGAGGAGTAGGAGAAACTTTTCCGGTGACGTCATAGAATCCGACATGTTTAACCAAATAAGGTAAATAATTAATTAGGAAAAAAGGTGTTAAAAGTTAATTATTTCTAATGAATAGCTTTATAAACATCGCATTCGAATATCTTCACATACGAATGCGCGCTGTGTTGTTTCTTAAAACATATTTGTTTACAAATTTGAATTGAAATTCAATGATGTTAAGGTTGGTAATCTGTTTCAATGTGGTATTTTTGGAAATGCTCAGCAATGCTAAGTGATTAAGATCATTTACAAGATTTGTTTTGATAATGAACAAGAAAAAACAAATCTCATAGAATATTTAAGAAACTTCTTAAACGAAAACAAATATGAGTAAATGTCTGAGTTTAAAATCAAGCAATCGATCAATAGTCCCTTAACTCCAGGGGTAGTTGGGGCACCTGCTACATGCCCTTGTCATCTTAAAAACGAAATTACAAAACTATTTTTAAATATTGTTGTAACCATGTCACCACATTACCATTTAATCATGGTATCATGCACCATGTAACCATGAAACTATGTACCCATGTAACCAAGTAACTATATAGTTATGTAACCATGTAACCATAAACCTATGGAACAATGTAACCATATACCCATGTAACCTTATACCTATGTAACAATATAACCATGTAACTATATAACCATGTAACTATATAACCATGTAACCATGTAACCATGTAACCAAGTAACCATGTAACCAAGTAACCATGTAACCATATACCCATGTAACCATATAACCATGTTACCATGTAACCATGTAACCATGTAACCATATACCCATGTACCCATATAACCAAATAACCATATAACCATTTAACCATATACCCATGTACCCATATAACCATATAACCATTTAACCATTTAACCATATACCTATGTACCCAAATAACCATATAACCATGTAACCATATAACCATGTAACCATATAACCATGTAACCATGTAACCATGTACCCATGTAACCATATAACTAAGTAACCATATAACCATTTAACCATATACCCATGTAACCATATAACCATATAACCATGTAACCATGTAACCATGTACCCATGTAACCATATAACTAAGTAACCATATAACCATATAACCATGTAACCATGTAACCATGTAACAATGTAACCATATAACCATGTAACCATATAACCATGTACCCATATAACCATAAAACCATGTACCCATATAACCATATAACCATATAACCATGTAACAATGTAACCATATAACCATGTAACCATATAACCATGTACCCAAATAACCATATAACCATGTAACCATATAACCATGTAACCATATAACCATGTAACCATGTAACCATGTACCCATGTAACCATATAACTAAGTAACCATATAACCATTTAACCATATACCCATGTAACCATATAACCATATAACCATGTAACCATGTAACCATGTACCCATGTAACCATATAACTAAGTAACCATATAACCATATAACCATGTAACCATGTAACCATGTAACAATGTAACCATATAACCATGTAACCATATAACCATGTACCCATATAACCATAAAACCATGTACCCATATAACCATATAACCATATAACCATGTAACCATATAACCATGTAACCATGTAACCATGTAACCATGTAACCATATAACCATGTACCCATATAACCATATAACCATGTAACCATATAACCATGTACCCATATAACCATAAAACCATGTACCCATATAACCATATAACCATATAACCATGTAACCATATAACCATGTAACCATGCCCCTATTCTTACAGCTTCACTAGAGAACGATGCTGTCTACAAACCCTGTGTGAAAAAATTCTCCTCTTCCTGTTGCTGTTGTCCCTAGCAGCGTTGGTTGCTGTTGTCGTGACGCTGATTGTTATGAAGACGTCTCAGTACAAGTACGGAAGTTTCATGGCTCAAGCCGGATGTGCCAATGGCGTTATGGATATGACAACCCCAAGTACTAGCACCCAAAATCCAACGGCACCCCAGCAAAATGCTGAAGCACCTATCACTAAACAAGGTTTTCAATTTTAAGCCACTTATTTCACATCTCAGAAAAAAAATTGTATAAAAGCCTAGCAAATATAATGGAAGATAAATAATACATCTAATACTACTAAAACTAAACTTTGTTTACATGTTTGAATATTCATTTGTTTGTCTGATTTCGTACTGTAGGGAAACTGCTCAATATGGGGGGCTGTAAAATAGTATGTAGGTAGAGAATAATTGTTGATTGCAGACAGACTGTTAATCACACATTTTTTTAAAGACATTAATTAATTTATTGATTTATTCTTAGGTAGATTAACCACATTTGTTTTAAAGTTTTAGAACAATGGCTTAACTTTGACTGAATAGTGATGTTTGATAACTCATTTTTTTGTTTGTTTGTTTTTCTGATTTGTTATTGGGGAGAATCTTCATTATGTGTAGAGGTGTGAAATGGTATTTTGAGTGGTAAATATTGTTCCTTCTTAAACACACTGTTAATTACAAACTAATTTAAAGCCGTTAATTAATTTATTGATATATTCATGGGTAGATTAACCACATTGTATATAAAAGTTTAGAACAATGACTGTAGTAATGGTAAAAATATATTTTCTTGTTACAACAATGTTTTCAATTATTTTTCCTAAGGCCTACATATGAATGATAAGGTTGACTATCAGGACCTCGCGGGGCACAGGGCAGGTGAAGTAGAGTTCACCTGTTTGTTTGTTCTAAGCATATGAAGGGATAGTGTGGTCAGAGACATGCTCGGCTGGAATCGTTTATTTAAACGATAAAAACATGTTGTCTGAGACTTGGCGGGACAGTGGGCAGGTGAAGTAGAGTTGAGTAGGTCACCTGTGACGTCAGTATATGAAGGGATAGTCCGAAATCGTTGTTTTCGGTGTTTTTAAAAGATAAAAAACATATTTTTGAATGTGGGGTCTGTTTCTTTGTGACGATAAGTGACACTGCAGTAGCGTAGCGAGGAGGGTGGGCGGGGGGGGGGGGGGACATGTCCCCTGGCGCCGACCTTAGGGGGCGCCAAAATGGGTTGGAAAAATAAATTGAAAGGTTGAGGGGGGTGCAAATCGAAATCATGAGATGGGGGTGGTGGTGGTGCACATCGAAAGTTTGAGGGAGGTGCATATCAAAATCTTGCCGGGGAGGGGGCGGGGGGGGGGGGAGTTCAAATCGAAAAGTTTGTCCCCGGGCGCAGAAAAGGGTCGCTACGCCTCTGAGTGACAGACGTGATGTTTTTTGAGGGATAACCCCCGAAACCCACAGTTATCCAACGGGTGACGGGTAGTCTAGTTTATTATATTTTTCTTTTGACGTTTTTATAATACTAAAAACTTCGGAATAAAACTTTAGTTAAAAAAACTCAAGTTTTTTTTTATAAAATTGTTTTGCAGTATCAAATATGTCTTTTTTTTCAAATCCTTTTGAGTTATGTTATGCTTGTGTAATATAAAATCAAGGGACACAACCTATCCAAAGCAGTGGGTCACAGTTCCTATGGCCCTATTAATTAGAGCATGATACAGCAGGAAATAGGGCTTGTAAGTCTCTTTCGATTAAAATTCGAAATCTTGTTAGCCAGGGAAAAATCTACATTTTCGAACTTAAATAATAGCTATTTGTTTTTAGGCCTCGCTTCAAGATTCAATAATACCAAAGTACCTAAAATGCAACAATTATACATTTTTAAGTAACAGTACGCCTACCGCTAGCACAGGCTGTCCCGTGACCTACTTACAAGCCCTATTGAGAGAAACGTAATGTATTTAAAGCACATAGTGTCACACAAGGCTATCTGTAGTCTTGTGATTATCTATCGCAATGTGGTTACCTGTCTGTGATTACCTGTCATGAAGTAACTACCTGTCAGTGATTCCCTGTTACTCCTCGGTGACCTAAAACCAGCTGTTTATAAACATATGAGTACTGACCCATTTAGCCCTTATTTGAACCCTTTAAACTAAAACATTTTGTCACAGAACCTAAGCGTCACCTAACGTTTGGTATCTGATAACTGTATCAAACAAATAAAAACACCAACTGATGATTTGCCTGTATTTCACAGATATTTGTTTGTCGACGGACTGCGTGGAGGCAGGTAAGAGATAGGTTTAGAAAATCTTTTGATCATTTTTAAGTTTTTAGATTCAACAGCTTAAATATTAGGCTAACTTGGGCAGGTTTTTTGTTAAAGCAACGAATGTATACTATTCTAACGAGGATTCAATGTAAAATATTATCAAATTTATAATCTTACCAAAAGTTAGCTGTTTTTTTTATCAAACTAACTTAATAAGGGGGATAATTTAAGGGAGACAATGCAATCTTTTATATACTGTCATAAGAATACAAAGCAGTCACGCTCTGCTGTTCACCATGAAGCGAAACTGTGTCTGTAATATGTAATCATAAACACATTATCGGTTTGTGTCTATTTAACCATACAAATATTTCATCGTATTTCATCGTTCTACTCCTAATGTAGTGAAATATCGTATTGTATCGTTGGATTAATTAGAACACAATAATAACTGTTGCTGTATGAAGCATCGATTCTTTCTATACATAAAATGCCAAGATTGAACAAAAAATGGCTTAAAACTACTGACTGTTTGAGAAGATATAAGTTCAAGAAACAAGCAGAAACAGAGTTTATGGGTTTAAAAAGTGGCTAAAAATGAAGCTGCCGCAGTTGCTCTAGAACAGTCACAGATTATGAAGATGTAATAGATAACATTGCTTAAGATATGGAACACGTGACATTTATGTTGCCGTAGATTAATTGTAAAAATTGTAGATTGTAAAAATTAACAGATAAAAAGAACTGTCAAAGGATAAACTAATTTGATGTTCTGCTTCTTCATTCTAAATGTCGGTGTTGTAATTAAGTATACGTGTCAACTGGTTATGCGCCATTGAGGCCATTGACTCCGATTTCAGCCTGCTGTTCTTTTTGGATTTGCAGCAGTTGTTTGATTTTGGAGTTGTCTCTCCCAGAATAGTGGCTGTTCCCAGTAAACGAGCCTCATCTGCCCGAGGATTTGAACTCGAGACTTTCGGTTTAGCAACCATGAGCTTTACCGACTCGACCACACCGACCGCTAAGTTGACGTTGATTATAATATACAAAAAATGGAAAAAAATTAAGAAGCACGGATAAAACGAATATTTAGGGAATATAAAAGAAGCGTGGATGATAGTTTAGTTTTTTGTTATTTTTTTTCAACCAATAGGAACGTTTGTTTTTAATTTAAAATTTGCTTTGCCGTGATCATAATCACGTGACACAATAACCACGTGACATACAATAACCACGTGATTCCTCCCTCATCGATCAGCTGCCCGAATCAATCAGGCCATCGATTACACCGTGGCACCGTGTGACGACTTCTACCAGTTCGCCTGTGGTCGCTGGCTCAAGACCAACGTCCTTCCTGACGACAAGTTCAGCTCAACAACCCTCGACCGCCTCGTGTCGGAGGTGGAGATTATCATCAAAAGTAAGCTCACATCTGGACTGTTTTAACAAAATTTCTTACATTTTATAAATGATTTTTTTTACATCATGTCGATAGAAAATCACAGACAAACAAAAAAGAAAAGAAATATAAAATAAACAAAAATTTCTAAAATATGATTTCATTGGTTAAAATTTCCCAACTAGTCTTCTTTACTTGTATCTATAAAGCACTGAACTTATTATTTCTCATGTATCAGATTTGCTTGAAGAGCCTTACAGACCAACGGACACCAGTAGCATGAAAAAGGCCAAAGATTTCTATGCTTCATGTATGAAGACAGGTACTGTAACATTAGGATTTACATGCTTCATGTATGAAGACAGATACTTGTTCTGTAACATTGAACAACGGCTGACGTTAAACTCTTTGTACTCCAAACATAAACAGTAACGTCTTATGGTCCAACAATGTCTCCCATTATCCCGTCTATGGGGCTGATGAAGTAGAGTTTTTCTGTTTCAATGACCTCCGCATATAAGGGATAGTGTGGTCAGCACTATTCCAGCCGCCTTTGTTACCCTAACGTGAGTCAGGTACTCATTAAAGCCGGGTAGACTCAGGAACGTCGTACGTACTCGAACACTGGATCCGAAACCGAGACTTTCGGGCTAGCAGCCGTAAGCTTTACCATCCGAACAATTCAATTAACCAAAAATATTTGTTTACAACAACTCTTTCAAAAACACAACGATATCTCACTTTTGACATCGGCCTTGTCATACACGTTTGTCTTGGCTCGGTGCTCTCTTGTCCTACAGACACACCACTTGTTACCACATACCATCTACCATATTATCAACACACGCTTTTTACCATATACATCCCCATATCCCATTACCCAGATGTACCCCTATATCCCATTAACCATATTTATCCCCATATCCCATTACCCAGATGTACCCCTATATCCCATTAACCATATATATCCCCATATCCCATTACCCAGATGTACCCCCATATCCCATTACCCAGATGTACCCCTATATCCCATTAACCATATTTATCCCCATATCCCATATTCCCAGATGTAATCACCGCCCGGGGTGTCAAACCTCTGCTAGCCCTAATGTCCAGCCTAATGGGAGGGTCACCTTTGACCAACGCCACCTGGAGTGAGACGACCTTTGACTTTGATGAGGCCCTGTATAATGTGAACCTGTACAGCAGCTTCCTGGTTGTGGCAGCCTACGCCAGCAATGGTCCGCTCAACATATCCCGTCAGATGATCATTGTAAGATTTTTAAATCTCGTCAGATGATCATTGTAAGATTTTTAAATCTCGTCAGATGATCATTGTAAGATTTTTAAATCTCGTCAGATGATCATTGTAAGATTTTAAAATCCCGTCAGATGATCATTGTAAGATTTTAAAATCCCGTCAGATGATCATTGTAAGATTTTTATATCCCGTCAGATGATCATTGTAAGATTTTAAAATCCCGTCAGATGATCATTGTAAGATTTTAAAATCCCGTCAGATGATCATTGTAAGATTTTAAAATCTTGCCAGATTATAATTGTAATATTTTAAAATCTCGTCAGATTATAATTGTAATATTTTAAAATCTTTTCAGATTATAATTGTAATATTTTAAAATCTTTTCAGATTATAATTGTAATATTAACTTGTGTTACGTTCGTGGCTAACCACTAGATAATAAATATAAGAATAGTGTTTAAAAATTGGTCCTTAAAAATTGAATGTTATAACTAATTAAAACACCATATCACTGATATTACATACTATTGCACGTCGCAATGTACTCACCCAATGTTCTCACTGTTCTAAGATCGACCAGCCTAGCCTGTCCCTGCCCTCTAGAGAGTACTACCTGCTGGGACGGACCAGCGCCCCCCTTGTTGCTCTAGAGAACATGTTCTACGGCTTCAGCAGACTGATGGGGTTGGCAGACGACAGCACGGCCCGAGCAGACATCGCTGATGTCGTCACATTTGAGGTCCAGCTGGCAAACGTAGGGAGGTTTTTTTGTGTGGCAGTCATAGAACTAGAGAGTTGTTGGAGCCATTTTATATGTGGCAGTCATAGAACTAGAGAGTTGTTAGAACCATTTTAAATATGGCAGTCATAGAACTAGAGAGTTGTTGGAACCATTTTAAATGTGGCAGTCATAGAACTAGTCATAGAACTAGAGAGTTCTTGGAACCATTTTAAATGTGACAGTCATAGAACTAGAGAGTTGTTGGAACCATTTTAAATGTGTGCTTAGGATTAGAAAAGCTTAAAACATTATATATATATATATATATATATATATATATATATATATATATATATATATATATATATATATATATATATATATATATATATATATATATATATATATATATATATATACTCATCGAATGATTTGTTGGAGTATGATTCACAAATTTGATTCAGACGTATCGGTCTTCCCTTATCTGTCCCCATCTCTCCCCATCTGTCCCCATCTCCCCCATCTTTCTCCATCTCTCTCCATCTGTCTCCAATTCTCTCCCCCATCTGTCTCCCTTTGTGCCCCATCTCTCCCCATCTCCCCCCTATCTCCCCATCTCTCCCCATCTCCCCCCTATCTCCCCATCTCCCCATCTCTCCCCATCCCCCTCTCCAACAGATCTCAATGACAGCCCTAGAGAGACGTGACGCCTACAACCTGATCAACCCGACAACCCTGGGAAAACTTCAGGAGAAATATGGCCAGGTACGTGCAGGTGTCCATGTACACATTTCATATCCTCCTGTACAAAGTAATCGTATCATAAGTGTTCATGTACACATTTTATCTCTTCCTGTAGAGAGTAACCGTATCATAAGTGTTCATGTACACATTTCATCTCCTCCTGTACAACGTAATCGTATCATAAGTGTTCATGTTCACATTTCATCTCCATCTGTACAAAGTAACTGTATCATAAGTGTTCATGTACACATTTCATCTCCTCCTGTACAAAGTAATCGTATCCTAAGTGTTCATGTTCACATTTCATCTCCATCTGTACAAAGTAACTGTATCATAAGTGTTCATGTACACATTTCATCTCCTCATGTACAAAGTAACCGTATCATAAGTGTTCATGTACACATTTCATCTCCTCCTGTACAAAGTAACCGTATCATAAGTGTTCATGTACACATTTCATCTCCTCATGTACAAAGTAACCGTATCATAAGTGTTCATGTACACATTTCATCTCCTGTACAAAGTAACCGTATCATAAGTGTTCATGTACACATTTCATCTCCTCATGTACAAAGTAACTGTATCATAAGTGTCATGTACACATTTCATCTCCTGTACAAAGTAACCCTGTCATAAGCGTCAATGTACATATTTCATCTCCTCATGTACAAAGTAACCGTATCATAAGTGTCAATGTACATATTTCGTATACACATCAATCATCGAACTGCATCAATTAAACAGCTAGGATGTTTGCATTTTACTTTTATCCTAAGCATTACACTATCCTAATTAATTGACATGTTTGTATTGTATTCTTGCGTAAGTTATGTTATTGATTCTAAAATTTACGATACACACATTTTTAAAAAAATGAAGTTGATGTAAATTATGACTGTACCAATGTTACCAAAGAAGCATCCTACCTGATGCAAACAAAAATAGTACTGCACGTGGACAATTGCAACATTCAGCGTTAAACGTTGTTCAATCTCATTGGTGTATGACTGCATGGCATGACATTTCACTTTGCTGACCAAATGAATTTGTATAGATCTTCATGTCAGCAAGGCATACCTTTGTCTAGGACTCTAGATCTTCAATGTTGCTGAATAACTAAAATATTGGTCGAGATCCTCAACTGGACGAGACCTAATTTTGTTGACCAATTAAAATATTTGTCCATATCCTCAACTGGACGTGACCTAATTTTGTTGACCAATTAAAATATTTGCCCAGATCCTCAACTGGACGAGACCTAATTTTGTTGACCAATCAAAATATTTGTCTAGATCCTCAACTGGACGAGACCTAATTTTGTTGACCAATTAAAATATTTGTCCATATCCTCAACTGGACGTGACCTAATTTTGTTGACAAATATTTGTCTAGATCCTCAACTGGACGAGACCTAATTTTGTTGACAAATATATGTCTAGATCCTCAACTGGACGTGACCTAATTTTGTTGACCAATTAAAATATTTGCCCAGATCCTCAACTGGACGAGACCTAATTTTGTTGACCAATCAAAATATTTGTCTAGATCCTCAACTGGACGAGACCTAATTTTGTTGACCAACTAAAATATTTGTCTAGATCCTCAACTGGACGAGACCTAATTTTGTTGACCAATCAAAATATTTGTTCAGATCCTAAACTGGACAAGATACTTCCAGAAGACGCTGAGTGACCCATGTATTGGCATCACGGATGTAGGAGCAGACGAAGAGGTCAACATCCGGGCCATCAAATATCTGGACAAGCTGGTTGTGTTGATGAACCAGACGTCAAGAAGGTTTGTTACCTGTCAGTTACGTCATCGACATCTGCATATTACCTCACATGGGTACCACTCGAGAGAAAAGTGGCCTTGCTTTTTTTTTCGTTTGTTTGAGTGGGGGGGGGGGGACTTTAATTTTGCACTAACTTCTTCAGTTTAAAAAGTGATGAAAATAATTTTAAGAGATAAAATACTACACTCTTTTGAAATGATTGCATAACAAAAGAAATAGTCCTCCCTTGATTAAATTTAATTTTATTTTAATTTTGACCCATCCCCACAATTTTAGTTAAAATCTGTGAATGTTATAGAATAAATACAACACGTCTCAAATGTTTATATCACCAGGACGTTGTCTAACTACTTGATGCTGAGAATGACCAAGTTGGTAGCACCTGCTTTAGGAGACCAGTTCCTGACAGTACTTCTGGACTTCCAAAAGGTCCGTTTCCTTCTCACGTGTGATTGGTGTTAAAACATGACATGCCTTGTTCAAGGTTGATATAATTGTCCTATTATTTTGATACATTTGATACTTTTTCCCCATTAATCTGTCCCATAGCCTGGTACCCAGGAGAACTTGGTGGACTCATGGACGTCAAACAGTCACTAGTCCGAGATCCGAACTCGAGACCTCTGGCAGTCAAATGCTCTACTATTTGATCACACTGTTCCATAAGTAGCTTACTATAGGATCCCATTTTTCATGGCTTTAATTATATATTTAAGTTCTCCTGTTGGAGTTGTAGATTCGCAAGCACAAAGAAATGTGCCTTGACAAAACAGAGCGTTAACCAGATATTTGTACAGCGTGCTGTGTTTTTATGTTTCCTATACTTTCTTCAATTGTGAGCGATCCTATGGTCTGAGCAAAAGTGGCGAGAAATTTATTTCGGTACCCTCTGTTCGAGGTTATGGCATCCATTGTTTTTTGTTAGCGCAATTTCCATTCTGGAGAATTGCGTTTATTAACTCGTCATTTCTGGGAATGGATGGATGAATGGATGGATGAATGTATGAATGTATGGATGAATGTGTGTCCGGGCTTTAAGTCGTATCTCCTCCTCAACGAAGCAATATCGATGACTAGTTCCAAAAGCAATTATGTTAAGCAAGTTACGAGAATGACCATAGGCCATAAAAATTACGGGTTTCTTTAATGGATTTCCCGGAAAAGCCAAAAAACCTTTTTAAAAAATGCAGTTTTTGGCCCATATCTCGGCAACCAGACCACTAAGCGACTTGAAACATGTACCAATCGATTCCTGCCATAATTTAGAACAATATTGCCGAAGAAAGTTTTCAAAAATATCCTTTCGTTTGGTCACAACATTTTTTTTGAATTAATTAAAATTTGGACCGAATTAGTAGGCATTTTTTCCAACCACACCACACGCGTCATCACGTTCAATAGCTGCGCCATCGCGTTCCATGGCTGCGCCATCACGTTCAGTAGGCGCGCAATGGTTTTTAGTCATGTAACTCTATTGTAAATAAAACATGTAAAATACTGAAAAAAATTAATAAAAAACGTTTTAATAACTAACCAATGGTTTTACTAACCCTGCTCTTGATTGACAGAGCTATTTTTAGATAACATAAGGAAATTGCGCTAAAATTGTCACTAGACTTTTTAATTACCTTGTTGATGTTTTATTGGGGAACGGCATGGCTTAGCGATAGAGCTTTAGACTGCTAAACCGAAAATCTCGAGTTCGAATCCAGGTTCAAATCAGTAGAACGTCTCTGAGTCAAAAATGTTCATTGATTTATTTCTTAAAATGTATGTCAATATATATATATATATATATATATATATATATATATATATATATATATATATATATATATATATATATATATATATTTATTTATATATTTATATATTTATATATATAAATGATATAAATGAAACTCGATATAAGTCAATTAAATACAAACTGAAACCCACGACCTCCCCTGGGTAAAAAGGTCGGTGACTGACCTAATGATGTGTTTCAGACACTGTTTGGTGTGGGAACCAAGATGGCCAACTACAGGATGTGTATCGCCAACGTTAACGGATATCTGGGCAAGGCTGTGGGGAACTTGTTCTTGAGAGATCATTTTGACAAGGATACACGGGAGAATGTAAGTAGGTCAATCCCAGGTATGGAGCAATGAAAGTAGGTCAATCATGAGACTAGAGCAATGTAAGTATGTCAATTATATGCGTTAAAGTAGGTCAACCACAGATATGGAGTAATGGAAGTAAGTCAATCACATACATGGATCGAGAGAAGTAGGTCAATAACGGGCACGGAATAAAGGAAGTAGGTCAATCATGATCCTAGAGCAATGTAAGTCGGTCAATCGCAGGCATGGATCAATAGAAGTAGGTCAATCACAGGCAAATAGCAACAGAAATAGATTAACCAGGCGCCTAGAACAATGTAAGTAGGTCATTCCCAAACACGAATAATAATACATAAATAAAAACGGATGTTATGTAAGCTTGTTTAAATTTTGATTTCAGAAATATTGATCGAAAGCCAACATTGGAATATTACTTTTTGAAAATACATGTGTAAATGATCTTTTTCGGAAGGTTCTTTATTTAATTGCAAAGATAACATTCTCCTAAGTTAAAACGGCTACAGGACATTACCCCCCTGGATATTTTCCCCCCCCGGACATTTCCCCCCCCCCGTATTTCCCCCCCCCCGGAGCAATTACCCCCCTGTCAATTACCCCCCCTGTCAATTACCCCCCCCCCCCCTCTCAAGTTAAAATCCTAACTCTAACTAGAATTGTATCCCTATATACTATTTTAATCCAAACCTTAAGAAAAAGACCAAAACCTAAGCATCCACCTTAGCCTAAAACTTCACACAAAACCAAAACCAAAGCTAGACACAACCCTAACCCTAAAACTAGCTCTAACCCTAACCCTAGCTCTAACCCTAGCCCTAACCCTAACCCTAACCCTAACCCTAACCCTAACCCTAACCCTAACCCTAACCCTAACCCTAACCCTAACCCTAACCCTAGCCCTAGCCCTAGCCCTAACCCTAACCCTAACCCTAACCCTAACTCAACCCTAACCCTAGCCCTAACCCTAACCCTAACTCTAACCCTAACCCTAGCCCTAACTCTAACCCTGTCCGGGGGGGGGGGGGGTAATGTCCTACTGGGCGGGGGGGGTAATTGACAGGGGGGTAATTGACAGGGGGGTAATTACTCTGGGGGGGGGTAATGTCGGGGGGGAAATATCCGGGGGGTAATTGACAGGGGGGAAATGCCCTGTTCCCGTTAAAACAATGTTTGTATTTTTTAAGGCCGAGGAATTAATTAAAAGTCTTCAAGCCTCGTTTAACCAATTGGTGGACGAAGTCACGTGGATGGATGACGTCACAAAGCAAGCTGCCAAGGAAAAGGTTAATTAGCTTATTTGTGTAGTGTTTTAGTATACTCAAGACAGTGTTTTATCAAAGTAATTCAACACGTGTAAAACAGCAATTTCATTATATATAGTTTTTTAAATAAATGATAACAATTTTTATGACATATGTACAAATGATATTTATGAAAAATGGTCGTCATTGTTGCTTGACAAGTACTTTGTTATAGTTTTGGTAGACACACCAATAAACACAGACACATACACAATATATATATATATATATATATATATATATATATATATATATATATATATGTATATATATATATATATATATATGTATATATATATATATATATATATATATATATATATATATATATATATATATATATATATATATATATATATATATATATATATATATATATATATATATATATATATATACATATATACTTGTAATAGAAGTTATCAGATTGACATGAATTTGTTTGTTTCTCTACCCCAGAATAATTTGATCAAGACAATCATTGGTCAACCTGACATTTTAAACAACCTCACCTTCATCGATGAGCTCTACGTCAATGTAGGTCACACACCTATGTTTTGTGTTAAGTTTTATCCTAATGTGTTGTAATTCATTCTATTCTAATCTAATTATTTTTTTTAAATGATTGCAAAATCAAAATTTAAAAATAACCCATTGTACAGATACGAGAATTATAAAACAATACAGGTTGTTCTTACAGTTATAGAAATTGATATTTCAAGTTCCTTAAAACATATTATCTGAATTAGTCTGTGGGTTTGTGGTCAGATAATGAGGCATAGTTCTGACCCTCATAAATATTTCCATTTAAGTTCATTTTCCATTATTTCCGATCTAATACGATTGTAATAGGGCTGGTAAGTAGGTCACCAACCAGTTCTATGGCTCATGCAGGTTTTATTGAGCCGTAGAACTGGTTGGTGACCTACTTACCAGCCCTATTACAATAAAAATTGAGATGAGTCAAATCAATCCTAACATGAAAGATTAGATTGTGATAGCTTGATCAGCCAAGTGAGCTGGAGTTTATGACAAATATATTCACTCAAGTTTAAACAAGACACTCTGTTAAGTGGGGGATACATTATTTGATGATTGGACCTCTGTAGCAGAGTTATTTTTAAAGCCACAAGTCAACATGTTGCCTAGCAAATTTATTTTTAGCCATGAGTGTTGTCGTCAAGTCAAGAACTGTTGGCTTGGAAAGAACACATTTTGAAATTTCAGAATAGATTTACTTCTATTTATTTATTAAATCGAAATCATAAAAAAAAATTAAAACAATACAAGTAAAAAATTATATTTTTAATCACAAAATGTCAAATGTAAGAAATATCAGAAATACTTCTACAGAATGTTGGCGCACTTGCATTGTGATAATTTATAAGATTTCCTTTGCTTATATCTACATAAAATTTAACTTTCTTATTTTTAGAATATTTTAAAACGAGTTATTTTAAAGATTTTAAAACTAATTTTGTTTTAAAACTTAAGGTCTCTTTTTTCGTTCTTCTATTTCAGTACACATACAGTCCCGATCTGTACTTTGAGAACATCGCAAACAGCTTGAAAATCTACACATTACGGGCATGGCAGTTGCTACGGCAACCGGTTCAAGAGTCTATGTAAACTTTTTTTTTTTTTTCAACAATTTAACTAGCATTAATTTTTTCATTTCAACATTAACTAGTTCTAGTTTAAAAGATAATGTTACTCAAATAAAACACAGATTGCCAAATATAAAATTATCATTATACCCAACAACAGAAAGTTATTATGATTTATACACATTATATTCAATAACTTAATGTTATTGATCTCATTACATCCAACAACATAATGTTATTGTTCGCATTTTTTTTAACAACTTAATTTTATTTTCCGCATTATATACAACAAAATAATATTGTTGTTCGCATTATATCTAAAAAAAGAATGTTATTGTTCGCATTATATTCAACAAAAGAATAACAGCAGAATGTTACTGCTCGCATTAAACCCAACAACATAATGTTATTATTCTCATTATATCCAACAACATAATGTTATTGTTCTCATTATACTCAACAAAATAATGTTGCTGTTCTCATTTACCGAACAACATAATGTTACTCTATGCATTATACCCAAAAACATATTGTTACTGTTCGCATTATACCCAACAACAAAATGGTACTGTTTGCATTTTTCCCAACAACTTAATGTTACCGTTCGCATTATACCCAACAACCTAATGTTACTGTTCGCATTATACACAACTACATAAAATTACTGTTCGCATTGTACCCAACAACCTTATGTTACTGTTCTCATTATACCCACCAGCATAATGTTACTGTTCGCATTATACCCAACAGCATAATGTTACAGTTCACACTATACCCAACAACATAATGTTACTGTTCTCAGGCCACCAGTCACAGCCAGCGATGTAAACGCGTATTACGACACCTTTGCTAATTCCATCAGTAAGGCTGAAATTGGTTTCTTACATTCATGTTTTCTATACATACCACATATTACCTATTTAAGTCTCTCATTAGGATCTGTTAAAACTACACTAGTGTCTCAATATTGATTTCTCTTCACTAGCTCTTTTGGGAGGGATACTAAGACCGCCAGTATTTAAAAAGACGTACCCCAAGTAAGTGTCTCTACAATGCAATGTTGTTATCAGATAAAAGAACAATAACAACATCAGAGTTTAATTTACTATATTATAAAAATACCCGTATCTAATATTGTTATGTTTTTTTAAATACCCGATAAATGTGTTTTTTTAAGAAGTATACTGATTAAATGTTGCTGTATTTTAAAAAGAATACTCTAATTAAATATTATTTATAAAAAAAAAGTCTGCGCAACTGTCGTATTTATTGTCTCGATTCTTATTGTCATCAGAATTTTAGGTGCAACAGTTGCTAAAACAGGTGTTGTTATTTTCGACGTTTTAGCGTCTAGTCCTCTAAATATAGCAAATATAGCAATAATTCGCTCTGTAGACGTTTACAAATAGAATGTGATATATATATATATATATATATATATATATATATATATATATATATATATATATATATATATATATATATACGTTACAGATACCTAAATTATGGATCAATAGGATCAATTATTGGACATGAATTAACTCATGGTTTTGATGACCAAGGTAAGGTGTACATGACATGGTAAATTCTGTATAATTAAATGGTGCTGTTAATTAGGTATCCGGCATCAGCATAGAACCAAACAAATTTGCGTACCTTTAACCTAACATGTAAATGTACCTGGACCCTCCCCCCCCCCCTCATCCCCCACCCCGCAGGTCGACAACGCAACAAATTTGGTCAGCTCGCCCAGTGGTGGAGCCAGACCTCCATAGAGAACTTCAACCAACAAAAAAAGTGCATCATCGAGCAGTACTCCAACTACACAGTCATGGGACCCAGTGGCCCAGTCCATGTGAGTTGAACATTGACTTCTCTGCTCATATCTTCTTTAACGTTCTTTTCAAATCTGCAAAGTTTTATCCGTGGTTTTCACGGTAGGATAGAAAATGAAAATAAACAGAAAGGCATTGTTGTAGCCAAACTGGCTAAGTGTATTTTACATAGCATTAAGGGTGATGGGAAATGGGGCTATGTGAGGTTTTTTTCTCTTGGTAGAGATTAAAAAAAAAACTGTTAAAACTGGGCTACTTTTGAAAAAATATGTAGCGGTTTCAATCTACATATTTGTAAAATTGATAACTTTAATGAAGTTGACTGTAGATTATTTATTTAACATTATTATAGGAAAATTGTAAAAATTTTCCAACAAAAATGGTCTACAAAATAAAACAAGTAATTAGTAACACAATTAGCGTATTACATCCACCAATAAATGTACCTGATTAACCCATCAACACCACCAATAAATGTACCTAATTAACCCACCACCAATAAATGTACCTAATTAACCCACCACCAATAAATGTACCTAATTAACTCACCAATAAATGAACCTACTTAACCCACCGCCAATAAATATACCTAATTAACCCACCACCAATAAATGTACCTGATTAACCCATCATCACTAATAAATGTACCTATTTAACTCATCAACACCACCAATAAATGTACCTGATTAACCCATGATCACCAATAAATGTACCTATTTAACTCATCAACACCACCAATAAATGTACCTATTTAACCCATCATCACCACCAATAAATGTACCTAATTAACCCACCACCAATAAATATACCTAATTAACTCACCACTACTAAACGACTAAACTTGTCCACAGCTGGTGGGAGGCATGTCACAAGGGGAGAACATCGCTGATAACGGGGGCCTCAAGGAATCGTTTAGGGTAGGTGGAATTGTTTGCTTCTGTATATTGGTATATGGCTTTGTAGGTCATCTATTTACTTCCTTACTTCAGAACAATTCTATTGAGCATTAAATCAAATAACCACACATTCTCAATCATACAGATATATATATATATATATATATATATATATATATATATATATATATATATATATATATATATATAAACAGGCCTACAGGAACTGGATAAAGGAACAAGGCAAAGAAGAGCCAACATTACCAGGACTTAACTTCACGGGAAACCAGTTATTCTTTGTTTCGTTTGCTCAGGTAAAATGTGTCTGTATCCTAATATATAAAAGTCCGTGTGCGCACTTCTCTCTCTCTGTCAGCAACATTTTTAAAGCGATGTGATCAGCATGTTCAGCGATATATGGGGAACTTAAAGATAAGGACTTTAGTTGAAAATAATATGATGGATGTTTTGCATGTAAAAACTAAATTTTAATTAAAGAAAAATAAAATTAAAATAAAGGCATATCCGAATGTAGAAAGATCCAACCGGAAAAGTGTTTTTGGTTGTGACAAGAACACAAAACTAATGGCGTAATCTTCTAATTTTAGAATATAAAGAAATGAACAATTTATTCAAATTTGATTTAGATCTACTTATCAAGTCGAACGCTATAAAATGTTTACGATTTTCTCGGCCTAAACTAATAGAAATTACTTTATAACAAGTTAATAAAAAGTCTAGTGACAATTTAAGCGCAATTTCCTTAATTAATTTTTTGTGACCGAACGAAAAGATATTTTTGAAAACTTTCTTCGGCAATACTGTTCTAAATTATGGCAGGAATCGATTGGTAAATGTTTCAAGTCGCTAAGTGGTCTGGTTGCCGAGATATGGGCCAAACACTGCATTTTTTCGAGGTTTTTTGGCTTTTCCGGGAAATCCAGGAAGGAATTCCGGGAATTTTTTTGGACCACAATCATCCTCGGAACTTGCTTAACATATTTGCTTTGGAACTAGTCCTCGATATTGCTTCGTTGAGGAGGAGATACGACTTAAGGCTGCGGACACACATCCATCCGGACACACATCCATCCGGACACACATCCATCCAGAAATGACGAGTTAATAATCGCAATTCCTGTACGGAAATTGCGCTAAAAAACAACATAACTACCATTGAACAGCCGGGTTTTTAACGAAATCATTTAAGTTTCTTATTCAGCGTATGCATTTAATTTGGTGTTGTGTTGACTAATAATGTAGGCCTATATAATTTGGTTTTTCTAATAGGCATTGCTAGCCTATGTTATTTTAAATGTGTGGGATTTTTAGCTATTTGCTTAATTGTTTGCTTTGTCACTAATATCGCTCAATGTGTAGTAAAGATGACTTTCACTAACGAGATGACTGTCACTAATGAGATGACTTTCACTAATGAGATGACTTTCACTAAAAAGATGACTTTCACTAATGAGATGATTTTCACTAATGAGATGACTTTCACCAACAGATCTGGTGCTCTAACAACAACCCCGCCTATTTAAACTACATGGCGACAGCAGAGGTCCACAGTCCTGGCCAGTACAGGTAGGTGCACTTTACACATTGGCAGGTACACACTTTACAGATTGGCAGGTACACACTTTACAGATTGGCAGGTAAACACTTTACACATTGGCAGGTACACACTTTACAGATTGGCAGGTACACACTTTACACATGAGCAGGTACACACTTTACACATTGGCAGGTACATACTTTACACATTGGCAGGTACACACTTTACACATTGGCAGGTACACACTTTACACAATGGCAGGTACACACTTTACACATTGGCAGGTACACACTTTACACATTGGCAGGTACACACTTTACACATTGGCAGGTACACACTTTACACATTGGCAGGTACACACTTTACACATTGGCAGGTACACTTTACACATTGGCAGGTACACTTTACACATTGGCAGGTACACACTTTACACATTGGCAGGTACACACTTTACACATTGGCAGGTACACTTTACACATTGGCAGGTACACACTTTACACATTGGCAGAGGTGTGTATCAGTACAGGTACACAAACTCATTACATGATCAGATACACACACTTTTTACATTAGCAGGTACACATACGTTCCTATGAAAAGAGTTGTAGCTATTAATTGAGCTAGACAAGTGGGCACGAACCTATAAACCCGTCAGAAAAATATCGTTAAAAATTTCTCTATTTCTTTAATCACACAGGGTTATTGGGTCTAATCAAAATTCTCTGGATTTTTCTCGTGAATTTAACTGCCCTGTCGGATCATACATGAACAGACGAGAGAAGTGTGTCATCTGGTAGCTGACATCTGGCGTTGTCATCTACAGGTCATCTAGTGTTGTTGCACCACATCGAAACTAAGCGCATCTTTTAATTTGTGTCCTAATAGTACTCTAAAGATTGTATGAAGATATATATATATATATATATATATATATATATATATATATATATATATATATATATATATATATATATATATATATATATATATATATATATAAAACCATAAAACATAGATGATGGTGTGTGTGTGTGCTGATGATATAGCAATTCTATGTATACCAAAGATACTATGTGTCTGTGCTTAACTTTGTGAGCGATATATTTTTGAAAAAAAAATGCCTTCAAACAAATTGCCAAAATGTCTAGAAACCAAATCAAATACCAAAGATATATTTTAGGGCATTGAGTTTTACCCTATTGTAAATATATATTCATTCCTTATAGAGTCGGAAATTGGCTATGATTTTTGTTTTATGAATAATGTTGAATTTAAATTCATCTATTTTACAAATTATTTATGTATTTATAATGCTATAAATATCAACTATAATCTAAACGAAAATGTCCTTGTTTAAAAATTAAAAAAAAAACATTACTTTTTGCTGTAATATTTTACCAATTTGAGAAATTGTTTTTTCTTTACGTGCATTTATAAACATGAATTTTATCAATAAAAACAGCTTTTCTAGATGATGTAATGCTTATAGAAAGATTTATTTTTATATAAAGCAACGTGTGGCTCTTTAATTTTGACATGACACTGCATATTGGACGGGACAAATGACGTGCTTGGTGTCAAGTTAATTAAACCACTTGATTTCTTTAAAGTTTGTGTGAATTGAAATGTTTTTTAACAAATAAAATATCACCTTGAAGCACACAGAACATTTTATTTTGGCAACTTCAATAAGCGAATTCTTTTTAGATTTAATTTTTCACTTGTTTATTTATATTGTATCAGAAGACACCCATGAACAGAATCAACATTGTTAAAACGTAACTATAAACCAAAAAAAAATATTTATACATATTTAACAAAAAAAATCATCATTTTTAACTTTACAATACCAATTTACATTGACAAAAATTCATGGTGCTATTAATTAATTAAAAACGTTTGGGCAATAATCAGAAGAAAAGTAACTGGCCACTCGGCCTAAGCTACAAGCGGTTAGTAAAGACAAGCATTCATGATATTGTCATTGAACAACATTATAAATAAAATCTGAAGCAGAATATTATTATGGGATATGAATTTCGTGTAGAATCTCAAGCAGAATATATGATTTCGAATTCCAAGTAAAATTTAAAGTAGATTATATGATTTGAATTCCAAATATAACCTAAAGCAGTACAATATGATATGAGATGCATTTCAAGTAGAATCTGAAGCAGAATATGGCATATGAATTACAGGTAAAATCTAAAGCAGAAAATGGAATATGAATTACAGGTAAAAGCTAACGCTGAAAATGGCATATGAATTACAGGTAAAATCTAAAGCAGAAAATGGCATATAAATTACAGGTAAAATCTAAAGCAGAAAATGGCATATGAATTACAGGTAGAACCCGAAGCAGTACTTATGATATGAGATTATATGAGATGAATTCCAAGTAAAATCTAAAGCAGCTTATGGCTTATGAATTACAGGTAGAATCTAAATCTTTATAAGCCTTTTATATATGATATGGTAGGAATACCAAGTAGAATATAAAGCAAGATATGGGGTATGAAGTAAAAGAAGAATCTACAACAGGATATGGGATTTAAAACTGAATAAAAACTAAAATGTATTAATCTACTCTAAATGGGAAAAAAGCGACAATTTACCAAACCAAAATTTAAGTTTTTGATATTCAGAAACTTAAAGCATTTAACAATCAACACAGCAATTAATTACAGAAACCTGTTATGTAAATATCAACCAACAATATAGTATAATTAAGGCACTTTAACTTAATTAAACATCACCGTCTTACTAATTACTTAGGTAAAATATCACACCATTAAAGTATCTTTTTTTTTATTTAAATAGACATTGACAGAAAACGAATGCACTAATACAATAACTGCTTGACAGCTACTAGTCAGCTTTCAAGATACGTTTTACTTCGACAACTAGAGATTTAATGACCAACTCCTAGCAGTAGTTACAGTGTCCAAGTGTTTAGATGCTAGTAGACGATTCCTTTCTTGTGTCACGAGGCATGAAGTCTACAATGTTTCTTTCGGGCATCTCTTGATGAACAAAATAGAATTTATGTAGAAAAAATTCTGAAAGAAACACTGGTTGCCTGTATTACAATTCATCCGAATAGACAACATGTGTAGTTCATCGTCTTTTCAAGTTTAATTACCTCGGCATGATGAGGATAGTGTGGTCAGCACTATGCCCAGCCGCCTTCATTTCCATAACTCAGGTACCCACAAGAGCTGGCTGGACTGAGGGTCGTCTTACAGATCTAGTCCGGGATCCGAACTCCAGACTTTCGGATTAGCAATCGTAAGCTCTACGACCCGACCACTCCGTCCAATAAAGCTGATGTAACTAGTAACATAAAAGAACACAGTATTATCGTCCTCACAAATTCAAGACGACTGCAGCTATACCGTACGTTTCGACTAAAGGCCTTCGCCAGCACCCTTCAGTCGATACGTCAAATTATACTTGTAAGTACCTACAATTTATGAGACTGATTTAATTACCACTAAGTGGTTACAGGAGAGGTCACTGGCGAGGTCAGTGGAGAGGTCACTGGAGAGGTCAGTGGAGTGACCCTTCCCTGACAGCCGCCCCTGACAGATGTGGTCTCCACAATGAGCACGACAACAACAGCCACCAACGCAGCACACACCATCACCAACAGGACGAGAAGAATCTTCTCCTTGGTAGTCAAGGCACAGCACCGTCTTCTGTTGATGGTCAAATGACAACACGTTTACAGTTGTTATGTCAAATGTCAAATGTCAACACGTTTACAGTTGTTATATCAAATGTCAAATGTCAACACGTTTACAGCTGTTATGTCAAATGTCAACACGTTTACAGCTGTTGTGTCAAATGTCAACACGTTTACAGTTGTTATGTCAAATGTCAAATGTCAAATGTCAAACTCGTCTACAGCTGTTATGTCAAATGTCAACACGTTTACAGTTGTTATGTCAAATGTCAAATGTCAACACGTTTACAGTTGTTATATCAAATGTCAAATGTCAACACGTTTACAGTTGTTATGTCAAATGTCAAATGTCAACACGTTTACAGTTGTTATATCAAATGTCAAATGTCAACACGTTTACAGTTGTTATGTCAAATGACAAATGTCAACACGTTTACAGTTGTTATGTCAAATGACAAATGTCAACACGTTTACAGTTGATATGTCAAATGACAAATGTCAACACGTTTACAGTTGATATGTCAAATGACAAATTTCAACACGTTTACAGTTGTTATGTCAAATGTCAAATGTCAAACTCGTTTACAGCTGTTATGTCAAATGTCAAATGTCAACACGTTTACAGCTGTTATGTCAAATGTCAACACATTTACAGCTGTTGTGTCAAATGTCAACACGTTTACAGTTGTTATGTCAAATGTCAAATGTCAAACTCGTTTACAGCTGTTATGTCAAATGTCAACACGTTTACAGCTGTTATGTCAAATGTCAAATGTCAACACGTTTACAGTTGTTATGTCAAATGACAAATGTCAACACGTTTACATTTGATATGTCAAATGACAAATGTCAACACGTTTACAGTTGATATGTCAAATGACAAATTTCAACACGTTTACAGTTGTTATGTCAAATGTCAAATGTCAAACTCGTTTACAGCTGTTATGTCAAATGTCAAATGTCAACACGTTTACAGCTGTTATGTCAAATGTCAACACGTTTACAGCTGTTGTGTCAAATGTCAACACGTTTACAGTTGTTATGTCAAATGTCAAATGTCAAATGTCAAACTCGTTTACAGCTGTTATGTCAAATGTCAAATGTCAACACGTTTACAGCTGTTTTGTCAAATGTCAAGTGTCATCACGTTTACAGCTGTTATGTCAAATGTCAACACGTTTACAGCTGTTATGTCAAATGTCAAATGTCAAACTCGTTTACAGCTGTTATGTCAAATGTCAACACGTTTACAGTTGATATGTCAAATGACAATGTCAACACGTTTACAGTTGATATGTCAAATGACAAATGTCAACACGTTTACAGTTGATATGTCAAATGACAAATGTCAACACGTTTACAGTTGATATGTCAAATGACAAATGTCAACACGTTTACAGTTGATATGTCAAATGACAAATTTCAACACGTTTACAGTTGTTATGTCAAATGTCAAATGTCAAACTCGTTTACAGCTGTTATGTCAAATGTCAAATGTCAACACGTTTACAGCTGTTATGTCAAATGTCAAATGTCAACACGTTTACAGCTGTTATGTCAAATGTCAACACGTTTACAGCTGTTATGTCAAATGTTTCTCATAAAATCAATACCATCATGCACCTTACCATCATTCATTTGAGAACCACTCTCCTATGTTTCTCATAAAACCTATACCATCATGCACCTTACCATCATTCATTGGAGAACCACTCTTCTATGTTTTTCATAAAACCTATACCATCATACACCTTACCTTCGATATAACCACTCTCCTATGTTTCTCATAAAACCTAAGCACCTTACCTTTGATCGTTTGAGAACCACTCTGCCATAGTTCGCATCTCTATATCCTTATAGTAGTCGCTGGGTTTCTTCACCAAGTCGCTGTTGAAGTACGCAGGGAGGTGGGTCTTCTCGTACAACGTTTGCCTCGGGGGTCGGGGGGAGTCGGGGCGTCTTCTCTCATCCTCTTTCTTCTCGTACATTTCAGTGATCTGGCCATCGTCAGGTTGGTTTTTTATTTGGCCATCGTCATGGTGGTTTTTTATTCGGCCACCAACAGGAGTATGTTCATCCTTAGATAAGTGTCCTGCAGCTTCCAAATGTTGG